GTATTCGAGGACTCTTTGAAAAGAGAAACGGTATGTCCAAGAGCCGCCGAAGCTACTCTAAAAAATGAAGGTATGGACCCCCTAAATAACCTTTGGACCCCCTTAACTTTTGACAGGGGGGTCAGATCGACTTCCGGTTTGCGCCAAAAATTTTCTTTTTTCATGCTCTTTCTAACGATGCATCACATGATGGGGGTTGCCATTTGAAATTTTTGAGTTGCCCCCCGCCCCCCTCCCCCTGGGGGGGGGTGAAGAACTGGAAAGTACCTCAATAAGTTTCCCCCTCGATATGAGGAAGGACGCCACAAACCGCAAATCGATATCATAATTAGAACTAAAGTTATGGCCAGTGGTGCGTAACTTTTGAATAACCCTGTATAACAAAACTTCTTCCTACTACTGCAGATCATTTCTTAATTAAACCCCAAGAGAGTGTCCAAATTCTTGTTTAAAGTGAATTGTTGTCACATTCGTAAGAATGCATGGAATGACCCTAGAATCATTGTATCTCTGAAGACATAAGGTAAGATTTTTGAAACAGAAATACTAAAATATTCATCCTTCATACAATCAGGGAGATCCTAACCCAAATAATGGCGTAATTTTCTCTTTTCACCCAAATTAATGATGTTATTTTCTTTGTTCAAATAAACTAATTTACATTTAATGCTCCGAAAGCAATATTTTCTCCAAAATTTAGCAAAAAATAACATTTTATACTAAAAAAAAAAAAGTAGCAATGACATGAAAGTAGTATCGTACACATGCAACATTTCAGTTATTTGGCACGCTTTTCTGACACCTTCATGTTGGATCTATCATCTTATTGTTTTTCTTCATTAAAAGTTAAAATAAAATAAGTTACACTGTCATCAAGAGATTAATTCATAAAATAACACGTCGTAGTTATCTTTTGTAATTTTTCTCCTTTTGATAATTTTGGTTTTTATTATTTGAAAGTTCAACTGTGATCACCATGTATAAAATATCTAAGAAGAAATTTGTTGGTTCGACTTTACATCATAACATTGACCCTTCAATTTTGAAGATACCGCAACGATATGCAGCACGCAAGAATAGTTGTATGAACCCAGTGTTATGAAGGGGCGTTGTTTACCTACTTTAAAAAAAAAGTGTCCAAGTTTTGTGGCCAATTTTGGAAAGTGGGTGTAAGAATGAGAGATAAACAAGCAGCTAGTGGATCTCAAAAACATTCTTAACTCCATTTTTTCGAAAATATGGGTTGGTTCCTTTCCGATAAACTCGGTCCAGTCTCGTTACTTTTCAACAATTTTGAAGTAAGAATCGAAATCGGATCCTTACCTGATTGGTTGCAACAGAGGTTAAAGCGAGGACGAATCCTAACAGGAGGAGAGGAAAATTTGTGGCGTACATCGCGAGATTGAGTTTTGAAATTCTTGAGGAAAATCCACTTAAGAAAACGGGAAGGTTTGACGACGGGGAATGCACACGAGTTGTCGTCGGCGAGTTGTGGGCAGAAGCTACAAATACGCTAGCGCACGAACGTCAAGAAAACTCTGCCAGCAATCGGTAAACCCGTCCGTGCAAACACTTCCCCCCTTTCCCTCCCCCTTCAAACCCCCTACAACCATATATCCCTCTCCCTCCCTCTCTCTCCCCCCCCCTCTCCCCCTCCCCCCCCTCTCTCTCTCTGAAAAAAAAGAAAAGAATAATGGGATAACAGAGAATTATTGTCACGTCGAAGGGTTAGTTGAGTTTTAGACGGACTGAAACATCTAAAAACCCTTGACGCGGCGGAAAAGTTAACGGAGTTGTGGGAGAGCAAGAATTGAACGAAAATGTTTAAAGGACCGAAAGTTGTATTAGGTAAATGAAAGAATTTAGAATTACAGATTCACACTTTGAATTAAATAATGCCTACGGAGAGAAATGGCATAACGTAGTACTACGGGTCAAGATGGTAAAAGGACCATGAGAAATGGGCAGCTCAAGCTTTTATAGACTTGGTGACGTCACAGGTGGTAAGACAACAAGTCTACACGCTATTGGCTGGCTATAATCAGTGGAGCTATCAGCTGCAAGTTCAGTAATAAAAGTAATGGGCGATTTAAGGTGATGCCGATGCCTGGGAGATAGGATTGAAAAAGACGAAAGTGTACGAAATCCAGCCATCCCTAATGATTGAACTGAATATGAATAGAAAATTTATAAGTTGAAGAAAAGAACAAGTTGCAGGTATTTCAGTACCTGTGACAATTATGTAACGCAGCGATCGAGATATTGACGGTGAAACTACCAGGCTGCGTATCTCGTTTGCGGTGTGTGCAAATATCCACTCCCATTTTATTTTTATTTTTTTGAAAGAGAACAAATCAAAAAAGTTCCTCGAAGATTTTACGGAATTTTCTTCATGCAGAGCAGAAAAATCATGGAAATGTTTAAGCATTGATGTTAAGTAGTTTTCTACTTAAATAAGTACGACAGGAAGTCTGCAACGTCTAAAACCGATACATGGATTGAAGGTTTCGTCGTCGTATGTTTTAAAACCCCTATTTTTCTGAGCAGAGCACCATCCGAAATGTTAGAAAGTCTCAGATTCATACCAGAGATTCTATCCTCCAAAATTTAGAAATCAAAGTATCCTAAGCAGCATTTTTCAACGGAAAAATCAGGATGTATTGCAATTTTATCGGCGATAAAATCGCTAGGATCATCAAAATCTGATGATCTGAGCAATCATCCTCGATCTTATCCGGGTAAAAATCGCGATATTTTCGAAATAAAAATCGCGATAAATGGCGATTTAATCTCGATGTTATCGACGAAAATTGATCGCGATTTTATCGAACTAAAAATTGCGATGTGTGTGTAGCGACTTAATCGTCATATATCGCAATTTTTAATGCGATAATATCTCGATATATTGCCACCCATATAATCGCGATTACCAACCGTTAAAATCGCTATTTATCGCGATCACTGCTACTCGGGACAGATACGTCTTTATTCACTTCATTCAGTGTGATATGAATTGATTTAATGATGATATGTTCTTTTAATCTTTTTCATCGGAAGTCACCGTTGCGGCATCAATCAGCACCATCGTAGCCCCACGTATGTATAGCTATTTTGATAGCAGGGGATTTACAACTCAATAACTACATGTGACATGATACCGATAAATTAATGAATTTATTTTTCTTTTATAGTAAAATGCAGTCCTCACGATGTCACAGTACACCTGGACAACTCAAATCCAGATTTTTCCACTACGACATCCAATGAGGTGTGACGTTTCATGTTTGAATGATCTTTAAAAAAAGTGATGATTCTTTTTTCTGGCTGTAATTTTTTCACCAGGTGGGTGAGAAAAAAAAGCGTAGAAGGAATTTTTTTCTCATTGTCTTGATTCTCCTTCTTTTTCTAGAAACTTTTCCATAAATTTATGCTATTTTTTCCCTTTAAAGAGAGACTAGAGGTCATGGATGTCCACTTTCATCCGAGCTATTGATCATTCATCAAGTTATACTGAGTTGCTGTATTCTTATTTCTTTTTCAAAAAAGACTGAAGAAAACTCCAGTCTTGCTTCTGAAATGACTTGAGTGACACGATTTTGGAAACGACATAATTATGCCTTCATTGTCATTTACGCACTTATTTCGTCGAAAAGGACGTGAGTCGTGAGCGGCCTGAGGCTTTTTGCCTCATAAACCTATGTACATTCTGACAAGAAAAGACGTACGTGGCTTTTGGTTAATGTTCTAGAATGGCTTAAGGGGCATTTTTTTTAAACGAGCTAAGTCATCCGATCCTGTATTTTTATTGTTCAAGTAAGATGTAAAACCTAGGTTTTTTTTTTTTTTTTTTTTTTTTTTTTTTTTTTTTTTTTTTTTTTNTTTTTTTTTTTTTTTTTTTTTTTTTTTTTCATGACTTGAGAGCCACGCTATTCCAAAACGACGCAAGTTCTGATTGGTCCGTGGTTAAACTACCCAACACTGAATTTTCGGTTTTTTAGTGAGAAAAATTTCTTAGTAACTCATTATTCCTCCATCCTCTCCTCTCATCTCTAGGTGCCTCTCTACAAAATAAACACAAAAATTAATACATCGGATCAAACGTGACCATACTTTTTCAGTCAAACGAAGCCAAGAAAGGATAAATAATGGATCTCAGATTCCCAACAACTGAGAAATGAGTCTTAGAGGAACATACTTAAAAATAATTTCCACTGATTAGGCCTCCAAAGAAATGAACTCCTTGAGAAAATTAGAATTTATGTATCAGGCAAAATCCAGTGATAGGCAGGAACACCGTGCACTTTCTCAAAATTATGGTTGCTGCGATATTGGTGCCACGTTACGAAGTTTTTGGCGACGTTTTGGCAACGTTGCTGTGACGTCCTGTTGCCGGTCGGGATACTGCCTCGGACTTCTTGGAAACTTATCGCGTTTTGTGTCGACCTCGCTTTTATGGGGGGCACACCGAAAACGAGATATCGTTGGTCGATTGTTGAATCGCTTATCAAATGATCCTGATTGGTATATCCAATCTTAGCAATGCTTTTTTTCGACCATGGTCGCTTGATGTCGATTCAACAATCGAGCTGCTACTTGGACTGACTACAGCCTTTTACGACTTTAGATATTAATAGAATTAGATAGGAATGACCGCGCTTCTCGTGCTATCAATGTCATACTACGAACGCGTGAGTGCATAATTTGCGCTACCACATTCAGTGTAAACATGCTCGTTATTTTCGTCTCATTTATCTTCGCCGATGCAGCGTTGGCGTAGCTGGACCAGTTCGACGGGGGGGGGGGGCCCNGGGGGGGGGACCTGTTGAGAGGGGGAGAGAGGGAGAGAGATAAGGTTTTTCAAGGTTACATAGCAAAGTCATACGAATTAAAATAATGGTATAGTCGATCGTCTTTTAAAGCGAGTGAAAATTAAAAGTCGATTGAAAAACTGACTCTCAATTTGTAAAGCACGACGGTGTTTTTTTAAGTGTAACCTTAAAGCTCGAGCTGGAAACTCGGACTTGACAATTATACATTGCAAAGTTTGCATTTTTTACTATAAATAGCATTGAAAAATTGTTTTCTTGAGCTATTATTTTGACTCAAAGCGTCGTTTCTTGTCCACAAAATTTAATTTGTGTTTGTGTGTGTGCTAAATCCGTGCGGTTTTTACTCAAAGTCAGTTTTTTTGAGTTAAAGAAACGTTGTTTCTTTATCGTTGAGTTTAAGTTAAAAAAACCATAACGAAACAACGTTTATTTAACACCAAAAAAAAAGAAAGAAAAAAATTGTCGATAAGGAACGTCGCTTCAAGTCTAAATAATCTGTAAAGACAATTTCTTTTCAATGAATGCTTATATTTTGAATTTTATCGACAAGAAACAACGCTGGAAGTAAAAATACCAAACACCGATAGATTCACCGAGTCGTTTAGCGGTTCAATCAAAGCTCATGAAGGGAGATTATTGTTTGTTTATCGGAAAGATAACTATTCGCGCTCCCTTGTATGTTTTTTGCCTATACGGCAAAATTGAAGGCGAACCTTAGCTGGAAGATATTTGTTGATAAGTTAAAGCATGGTCTATTAATTCTGTCATACTTTATGCAGCGAGATTAATGTGTTTTAAAAATGGATAACCATTCCCGCTCTTCGGTAGGGATGTTGCCGAAATAGCAAGATTGAAGGCGAACTTCAGATGGTCGACACCAAACAGTAGGTTAACAATATATTTTATCGGTTCATTCAAAGATTATGAAACAGCATTAATGTGCGCCTCTCAATTAGATAACTTTTGGTGGACCCCGGTAGGCATGTTGCCTATGTAGCAAAATTGAAGGCGAACTTCAAGTAGACGATATCTGGCCGTAGAGTCCCTAATTGGACCGCGTTAAACAGAAAGGAACCAAACCACATCAGCTATTGCCAAATTTAACTGGGCAATTTAATTTTTTACATGAAAACGGTTGTGCAGATTTTCATGCAAATTTCAGTGAATTTTCTTCATAGTGCAAAGCGAATTCCTTAAAATTTTCAAAAAAATCGGCACAAACGTTTCCTCGTAAAAAATTAAGTGCCCACGTAAATTTGGCAATAGCTGATGTGGCTTGGTTCCTTTCTGTTTAACGCGGTCCAATTGATTGGGCGTATGCGAAAACGTCCGATGTCCAATACAGTGTTTCAGAATTTGAGTGGACGATTTCGTTGTAACTTAAAGACAGAAGATGGTTTAGGACGTTACGAATGAAGAACAATTTTATAAATGATCTCTTAAGTATAATTAGACTAGACTACTGGCGCTACAGCCCGGGGTGGGCTTTGGCCTCCAAGACAACGCGCCTCCATCCTGTTCTGTCCATGGTCTTTTCCTTCCATCCTGATACGTTCATTACTCTGAGATCTTTCTCTACTTCATCTTGCCATCTCAGCCCTGGCCTTCCTCTCTTTCTTTTCGATAGAACTTTGGCTTTCATGATTCTCTTTGGCATTCTTTCCTCCTTCATTCTGCTAACGTGCCCTAGCCATTGAATTCTTTGCGATTTGATGAATCGAACTATATCTTCTTGTTCCAGTATCTTGTCGATTTCGCCGTTGTTTCGAATTCTCCATTCTCCATTTTCTTTGATGGCTCCAAAGATCCTTCTTATGATTTTTCTCTCAAATCTTCGCAGCATGCTCTTGTCATTCTCTGTCATAGTCCATGTTTCTCCGCCATATGTAACAATTGGTCTAATAAGGGTCTTATATATTTGTAACTTGGTCTTCCGAGATATCAGTCTGCTTTTGATTAGCCTCAAGTTGGCATAATATGCTGCATTACCCGTTTGTATTCTATCTTTAATGGACGTAGTTGTTCTGGCTTCATTATCGATTAGGTTTCCCAGATACTTGAACTTTTTGACTCCTTCAAATTCTTTGCCATCAATTATTAAGTTTTGCGGTTTTCTTCTTGACTCTGAGGATGATAATATCATGTACTTGGTTTTAATTACATTTACCACTAGTCCTAAATCTCTTGCTCTTTTTTCCAATTCTTTGTAGATCTCTATTAATTTTTCTTTAGTTCTCGCAATTAGGGCAATGTCATCTGCATAGGCACATGTTTGACTAGATTTCGTGAATATTGTCCCTCTTTGGTCGACATGTTTGACCGCCATGTGCAGCGCTATTATAAATAGCGTACTTGACAATCCATCCCCTTGCTTCACGCCCTTGTTAAAGTCGAAAACATTGCTCACTTTATTTCCTATTTTAACCTTGGCTTTGGTGCTACTCATGGTCATTGTTATAAGTTTGATGAGCTTTCTTGGTACATTCATTTCATCCAGGGCCTTTATGAGTGCCTTTCTATTGACACTGTCGAATGCTTCCTTGAAGTCTACGAAGAGCATGTGTAAATCGATTCCGTACTCATGACATTTTTCCATGGTTTGTCTGATCACAAATAATTGATCGGCTGTGCCTCTTCCTGTTCGGAAGCCGCATTGGTATTCACCTATCTCCTTTTCGACTACTTTCTTCAGTCTTTCATTTAAAATTGATGACATTATTTTATATGCCGTGCTTAAGAGTGTAATGCCTCTATAATTCTTGCATTCTAATTTGTCTCCTTTTTTGAATATTGGACAAATTGTTCCGATATTCCATTTTGATGGCATTTTTTCAGATTTCCATATTGCTTTTATTAATTCATGTATTTCTTTGATTAACATTTGTCCTCCATTTTTAAGGAGCTCTGCTGTAATTCCATCTTCGCCTGGAGCTTTGTTATTTTTCATTCTTCTGATTCTTTCCGCAACTTCTTCTATAGTTGGTGTTTGTGATAAATCATCCTCATTTGTGTGGTCTTCTTTTTCCATTGTTTCTTTGTCGTTTAGTATCATCCTTTCCTTTTCATTTAGCAGCTCTTCGAAATGTTCTGCCCATCTCTCCATTATGTCCTTTTCTTCTCCTAGTAACTGACCATCTTTACTTCTGCACCCGCTTGTTTTCGGTTGAAATCCTTTTCTCATTCTATTAACGGCAGCATAGAATTTTCTACTTTCATTTTGCTTGCTTAATTGTTCTATTTCTTCCATTTGTTGTATCATTGCTTCTTTTTTCTTTTTTCTAAGAAGCTTATTAGCTTCTTTTCTTGCTTTGTGATATCTTTCTTCATTTCCTCTTGTGTTTCTTTGCAGCATCTTTTTTCTTGCGTCGTTTTTTTGATCTATGATGTTCATGCATTCTTCATCGAACCATTCTTCATTTCTGGTTTTTCGTTTTTCTCCAATAGTTTCTTTTGCTGCTTCTAAAATTGCTTTCTCAGTTACTGTCCAAATCTCTTCAGGCGTTTGATCCCTTCCTTCCATTCCATCTGTTTCTTGCGTTAGCTTGCTGTTCAAGACATCCACGTACTTCTTTTGTAATTCTTTATTCTTGCTTAAGTTTTCTGTGGCCCAGCGCTTCACTTCATGTTTGGGCCCTTTCATTACATTTGCGATTCTTTCTCTAACTTTAACTTTTACAAGGAAATGGTCTGAGTCGCAGTTAGGCCCTCTGCAGCTCTTTACATCAATTACTGATGACATATGTCTTGAGGATACTAGTACGTGATCGATTTGATTCACTTCTTCACTTCCTGGGATCTTCCAGGTTCCAAGGTGGATTCTTTTGTGATCGAATGCTGTGCTTTTGACATAAAGTTTATTTCTTGCTGCGAATTGTACCATCATGTTACCATTATCATTGTTTTTCTCATGTAGCGTGTGAATACCAGCTACTTGTTTTTGGTCTTCGTTTTTTCCAACTTTTGCATTGAAGTCTCCCAAGACTATCAGCATGTCATGCTGGCTTACTTTTGTACACACTTTTTCGAGTGCCTCGTAGAAACTTTCCTTTTCCGTTTCTTCTTTCTCCTCTGTTGGTGCATGCACTGACACAATGGTGATATTCCTAAATTTTCCTTTTACTCTTATTCGGCAGATTCTGTGGTTGATATTTTCATATTCTAGGAGAGTATTTCTTGCTGCTTTGGATAGTAGGAATCCTGTGCCAAATTGCCCTGTATTTTCACTTGTTCCACTGTATATCATGCTGAATTCTTTCTTGTCTATTCTTCCTTCTCCTTGCCATCTGATCTCTTGGACGGCTATGGCGTCAATGGCATATTTCTGCAGTTCTTTGGCCACTTCCATCATTTTCCCTGCCTTCTTCATCGTTCTTACATTCCATGTGGCTAGTATAATGTCCTTGGTTTTTTGGGGTTTTTTCCGTGATCCATACTCTTTAGGTCGCTTTATCCGTGGGTTTTCTGGGTACCGAGGCTTTGTCTTGGTTTTCGTAGCTTTGTTTTTTTTACGTGGTAGGGTTGCTAGCCCTACGCACAACCCTCCTCCTTTTCCTGGGCTTGGGACCAGCAAGAGAAAAACAACTCTCCTCTAGGCGGAGTTCTTAAGTATAATTAAACGTTTAAAAAAAGATATCGATCTTATTTCAGTGTCGTGGGGCAAAAGAAACCAGTGTATTTATGAAACCCTGTATTGGACAACGGACGTTTTTGCATGAGTCGATTCAATTGTGTATTAGTTCTAACAAAGTCTATCGAGAGAAATAACTGTAAGATTTTAAGCAGATACCTGTTCGCTTCCTGTGTGTCTCGACGGTGAAATTTTTAAAACATATATCTCACTTTGTGGCATTGCAGACTTGCTGTCATACCTTATTTTTTCGCCGGAACAATATTCAAAATCGTATCGCAAAATCTTTCGTAGTTTTTCTTCTCAGTCTGAAGAATATTCAATGAAAATTTCAAGGAATAAATTAGATGCCCTCTCCATTAGAGGTGAAGTACTTAGAATGTAATATTTAAAAACCCGGCGATCCAGAACTCAACTTTTGATTTTCACCGTCGATCCTTAGGCGGAGCCAGACACTTCGAACGGGGTGAGTAAGGGGGCTCTGGGGGGCTCTCCCCGAAACTTTTCGAAATTTTAAAGCATCTAATTTATATGCAGTTTAATTTAATTTTATCATGAATAAATATCTAATGTAAGTGTCCTTTCTTCTTCTTTCCTCCGGTCCTTTCCTTTTTTCTTTCTTCCCTTTTTCTTTCACCTTATTTTTGGACGAACGGGGGGGTAGGGGGGGAGAGGAGGCGGAGCGTGCTCGCTACGCCCTCCTCCCCTCAGGATCCGTTCATATGAACATTATTCTCCGGTTTCGTTAAAAAAAGTCAAACAAATTTCCTGCCGGGATAATAAAGCGCATGCATGGAAGTTTTACAAAAACACAATGAAAATATCTCTTTTTTATTTGTGTAACTATTTATTTTCTTAGTTTGACCTTTAATTTACGCATTACAAATTGATTATTGCATTTTGTAATCGGTTATCATTATCTTGTCGACTTACACCTAAATTCCTTGATTATATTTGTAGAGAGTACAAAACGGGTCTTCGTGTATTTTTTATTTCGTAGGTAATCGTTTCCGTAATATCCAAAGAAATCTTTGCAAGTTCTGCCGAATGTTGCCGATACGCTTTACTTTTTTGTTTCTAACTGCAATTCCATCCCTAAAAACGTGGACTTCTCTCTTGAGCTAGGAACGGCAGGCAATTCAACCACAAAATTACGTTCAAGTTTGCACAAATAGCAAATTTTCCCCTTCATCTCCTTTTTTCATCTGATAACTCACATATATTGAATTGGATTTTACTTTGCAAAAAGGAACCAAGAGCATTCCAATGTCGCTAAAACTGTGCAACTATTTTTACTTTGCAAATATAAACAGACTAACCAAGAAAGTTTTCTTTTTACTCCCAATAAACTATGGATTCAGCACGAAGATTACCTTTGCACATTTAATTTTTGGCACGATTTCAGTAATTAAGCGCAAAGAGTGAAAGTTGTACAATCCTAGCGAGATTGGAATGTTTTTGGTTCCTTTTTGCGAAATGCAATCCAATTCAGATACAACATAATCTCGCCACATAAAGAGTATTGCATCAATCGAAAGATTTGTCGGATATTCAACGTTGATTTTATCATAAAACGGCAGTAGTCTTTTTTTTTTTTTTTTTTTTTTTTTTTTTTTTATCGGAGGATACATTCAAAAAACAGTATCTTTACAAAACTCGCTTGATTATGGGCTAGTCATCGTATTTGCATAACGTTAAACCATTTAAGATGGACTGAAAAGTTGTTTTATGCCATCACATGATCTTTCAGAACAAATCGAGTAAAATATTTACTCAAGAGTATGTACTCGAATAACAAGCTTTCGGCTGTTTACAGTTGGACTGCATTTTGCAATTTTGAACTATAAATTCTTGCTCTTCTGGAAAAACACATATCGACGGTGAAAGTCGGCAATCACATAACTCGTTTGCGGTGTCTGAAAATCTTCGCCTCTACGTCATTTTTATAAAGGAAAACAAATTGATATTATTTCTTGAAGTTTTTGCAGAATTTTATTCGCATTGAGAGGAAAAATCATGACAGTTTTAAAGAATTGCCGTTGAGTAGTTTTCCATTTAAAAAATAAAGCATGACAGGAAGTCTTCGACGTTGCAAACCGAGTTATGTGATTGCCGACTTTCACCGTCGATATGTGCATAAGGAAACTTATGGCACATACGTTGTTTTTAAACCGGGCTAGAATTTATAGTTTCAAATTGCAAAATGTAGTCGAGTTTATCTTCATCTTAGGCCTGAACGAAATTTTGACGAAATAAATCATTCAATTGATTATTTTGTCTTTGTTGCTCCATTTCGCGTACATTAGTTTAATTATTATATTGTTTAATACTATTTAAGTCTGGGAATGACTGTTGGTGCCTTTTTCCTCGGATGAGGATCTCCATTGATCATTCTCTTCCTCAAATTCTGTTTCCGAAGGATCTTCCTCATCTTTGGTTTCCTCCTCTGGAGATTGCTCCTGGTCTATGGTTTCTTTCATTGATGATTCTTTATCTTCTTCCTGTTTATCTGACGATTTTTTGTCGTCTTCGGTTTTTCCTTGCGATCCCTTATCTTGCTCCGAGATTCTCTCTTCTGGTGATTCTTTTCTATCTTCAGTTGCCTCCGGTGATGATTTTTTCTCGTCTTGGCTCTCTCTCTTTGGAGTTTCCTTTTTTTCATCATTGTTCTCATTTTCTGATGGCTTTTTATCCGGTTCGGATGTCTGATCTGACGATTTTTTGCCATTTTTACTTTGTTCTCTTGCTGATTTTTCTGAGGTATTTTTCTTCTCCTCTGAAGAATTCTTTTGATCTTTGCGGCTTTTTGATTGACTTCTTTCCTTAACCTCATCTTCTGATGAACGTCTGGCCTCTGAAGAAAACTTTTGATCTTTGCGGCTTTTTGATTCCTTTCCATCCTTAACCCCTTCTTCTGATGAATTTTTTGGTTTCCTCTGACTCCTGGATTTGTTCCGGCCTTTGTCTTGCTCAGAAGAATACCCTCGACTTTTTGCATTATCCTTAGAAGTTCCTCTCTCTGTCTCTTCTGATGACACTTCGACTTCCTTGGTATCCTCCTCCTCTGATGACTTCATTCTTCTATTTCTCTTATCCGCCTCTTCGGACTTGCTCCTTCTGTTCGGTGACTCCTTCCTATCTCTAGGGACTTTATCTGATTCATCTCTTCCCCTGGGTGGTTCCCTCCGATCCTTAGATGATCTACTCCGATCTTCAGACGATCTGCTTCGATCCTTAGATCGTCCTCTTCGACTTTCAGAAGATCCCTCATCCCTCGAAGATCGACGTCGATCCTTTGATGATCTGCTCTGTTTCCGAAATTCTGCGCTTCGATCCTCAGACGATCTGCTCCGATCTTCAGGCGATCTGCTTCGATCCTCAGACGATCTGCTTCGCTCCTCGGACGATCTACTCCGATCGTCGGACGATTTACTTCGATCCTTAGATCGTCCTTTTCGATTTTCAAAGGATCCTTTATCCCTCGAAGATCGACGTCGATCTTTTGATGATCTGCTCTGTTTCCGAAATTCTGTGCTTCGATCCTCAGACAATCTGCTCCGATCCTTAGGCGATCTGCTTCGATCCTCGGACGATCTGCTTCGATCCTCGGACGATCTACTCCGATCGTCGGACGATCTACTCCGATCGTCGGACGATCTGCTCCTATCCTTAGATCGTCCTCTTCGAATTTCAGAAGATCTTGAAGCCTCCATAGATCGACCTCGAGCCTCAGGTGATCTGTTTTGTTTCCGAAATTCTCTGCTTCGATCTTCGGACGATCTGCTCCGATCCTCAGGCGATCTGCTTCGATCCTTGGACGATCTGCTTCGATCCTCAGGCGATCTGCTTCGATCCTCGGACGATCTACTCCGATCGTCGGACGATCTGCTCCTATCCTTAGATCGTCCTCTTTGACTCTCAGAAGATCTTGAAGCCTCCATAGATCGACCTCGAGCCTTAGGTGATCTGTTCTGTTTCCGAAATTCTCTGCTCCGATCCTCGGAAGATCTACCCTGATCCTTGGACAACTGCTTTCGAACCTTATAAACTTCTTCGGACTCCTTCCGATCTTTTCGTTTCTCCTCGGAGTCCTCTCGGGTGTCCTTTTCTTTCTCCCGATATTTCGGTTCATCCCTTTTCGAATCTCCTCGCTCAGGCTTTCTGCGATCTTCGTCAGGTTTCTCTTGACCTCGCAAAGTGCAACAGTTCCCCAAACTGCACCCGCACACTCCACCCCCACAACCGCGATCAACGCAATTTCCGCCGGACGTCAGGCAACCTCCTCCGCAACAGGGGCATGTATTCTGATTACAGCCCCCGATGAACCCGCAACAACAGCCATCCCTGCACACGACAGCGTTGTTCGCAGGGATCCCACGCGGCCCCAGTCCACAAATTTCGAAGACACACCCAGCCAGGGGCTGTTGTCTCCTTTCCGTCTCGGTGAGGTAGATTCGCGATGTTGTAACGTAGAGGGTGCTTAGGTCCGGGCCGCCCCAGGCGCATGAGCTAACGTCTCGTACCGGGAGTTTTATCGTTCTGAGTACCACACCTTTTGCAGGATCCACTTCAATCACCTGGAAATAGGAATAAAAAAATTACGCGTATATATAAGTTAACTGTACATCTACGAAGCACTACGACGGTTTCAGCAAGCTTCTCAAACGAGCAATGTTCATTCCCCACCGTGTGTTGTTCAAACTAACAGCAATTTGCTATAGCTGAGCTAAAGCGTCAAGATTGAGGTTGCCATTGCAGATTTGTATATCGCAGAGACTGTCATGATAACGTTTAGCGCGCGATATGAATCACGTAGAGCATTGAGTTTTCATAAGCAGGTGGTTTCAATTCACGCATCAAGAATCATTAATTATCTTCGTAAGGAGTTGATTTCGGTAATTTTCGTTGTGCGCATTGTATTTTACGTGAAATGGTCCGGAAACTAGTATCAAAATGCTGCAATTCGTACCTTGTCCAGTGGTCCATTCTTGTCGGAACACCTGGCCCCTCCAAGAGTCTATGCATTTCCAAAGGTGTAAATGGAGGAAAACAATTTGCCAATTGTCTGGATCCGCCAATGGGGTTCACTTTGGATTGCGTATCATTCGATTACTAGGGGGCTATGCCCCCTGGCCGCTACGTGGCCCAACCTCCAGAGGGCGCTTTTGCCCTTTCTTAGGCCCGCTTTGGCAAAAGAATGACCAAAAAAAAAATTAAAATATTTTCATACTCGACTCTCATTTGTTCAATCTCCCTCTGGCTGGGAGCAATTGGACCAATAAGAATCAAATAAGAAAACCGCCATGTATTTCAAACTTCAGGCTTAGACCAGGGCCGGATTTACTTTCTTGCCGCCCATGGCCCGCCTGTATTTTGCCGCCCCATCTCATTCGTTTTGAAACATCCATAGAAACCATCAGGTGAACGTGCCGGAGGAGGAGGGGTACATAAGACGCGCGTTTACTCGCGTTTGGCATAGTTTTTGTAAAAGCTCTGTCAACAATAGCAAAAGTTCACGGAACTTTGCTCGAAAATTAAGTTCCGTAGACCTATCTCTGTAAGGACAATGCCTTTCATTTATAAGAAAAGAACGAAAAAATTATGAATTAGAATAAAAATGAATGTGGTCTAATGATCTTAATTTCCGCCACCGTGCCAACCGCACTGTGTTTGGCGCAATGCGCTAAGTATCCCTGAAGTCTTGTAGGCGCTATGCGTTTCACGCTGACCAAGTGACCGCGACCGCACTGTTTTTGACGCAATGCGTGAAGTATTCATGGGGTCTTGTAGGCGCTAATATGTGTTTCATGCTGACCGGTGTGACGATAGGGCTTCTCCTTTCCATCTCAAGTTCTCGCCATCATTGCTCTCTGCTCCGTGCCGCTCCAGGCCAAATTGCGTGTTTGGTTTCTCTCTCAACTAAACTAATGAAAGGCGCTGTCTCTTGTATCACCGAAAGACGAACAAATTAGAAATTACTATACTTTAACTCTCAGGATATGAGAGATTTTTTCGCCTTTCCTCGTTTGTGATTTTTTTCTTGATACCTAGATTTGAAAAAATTTCAACATTTGCCGTCCCCTAAATTTGCCGCCATGGGCCGCGGCCCATGTGGCCACCCCCTTAATCCGGCCCTGCCCTAGACTGAAACGAAACAGAACGAACGAAACGGAGGGTTTCGCTACTTTTGGATAGTCTGTAGTAAAGGAGCATACCTTCGATTCATTTACCGTACCCTAGACTCTAGTAACAGACCCAGATTCACAATTTCCCGCCTAGTTCAATTTTCCGGAAAATTTGAAATGTCCGCCAATGAAAAATGGCGGGAATTTCAAATTTTGCCCCCTTTCTAAGCTCCCACGTATACCTTATTATAAAAAAAATCTGGGTCATATTTCCAAAATCTGATTACAGCGGACTCATCTAGGGACTATTACCTGTCGATAACTACAACAATTATGGAAATTGGCCCAGTAGAACGCTCAAGCAACCTGTGACAAAAAATACAAATTTACATTGTTTAAATGGGAAAATTCGCAACTTTACCGCATAATATAAAAAAACTTGGGTCATATTTTCAAAATCTGAATAGAACGGGTTCATCTAAAGACAATTGCCTGTCGATAGCCGAAAAAATCAAGAAAATCGGCCCAGTAGAACGCTGGAACTAAGCGTTACCAGATACGCAAATTTAGGAGGTCTCGGAGCTTATGTATATGATGATAACTATTCCGTAAAAATTTGAAAACAATTAAGGCCGCTGCTCACTTGATATCCACCGAAGCAAGCTATCCATAGATTGTCATTGCAGTCTATCGCCATGCCATCGGGCTTTCCTGGTACTCCGTCGGCATTGAAGTCGAACACTACCTTCTTGTTACCTGCAAAAGGTCAATAATTCATTACGACGTTAATGTATCCGTTCAACCGTTCGTAAAATTTTGGAGCCGGCGCAATTGAGGATAAATTTATATGTTTCCTCTAAAAATTTATCCTTTAACAATGGTAAATAAAACATATTTTACCAGTTGAAAAAATCGTATACGATGCATATTTTACATACAGAGCCTTCTGTATTCATTGTAAGAGCGACTGTGACAAACAATTTTGAATTGAAGTATCAAAATGTATTTTGAACTCCATGAATTTTGTACTGATCTGTAAAATTTTGGCAACATCCACCGGTGCATCTACATGACAAAGTTTAAATACATTTTTAAGAGTCTCAAGTCTGGATTCTGAGATACAACTTTGGGAATTTTCATCTGATTTTGTGCTATTTCTGGTTTTTTCTCTTCAATGCATGGAATAATATTCAGTTTTCGCAACAGCAAATAGCCATGACAAGAATTTTAAGGTAATTTGATAGACGTCATTTTTTGTGTCAGAGCGACGTGCGATATATAGCATCGATTCGTCGATTCGTCCCATAATTTCAGCTACTTGTTATTTTTTTCGAATTTTAAGATCTAACTTCTGTTTTCATGAGACTACAGAATTCATGTGCCAAATTCAACAAAGACATTCAACGTAAAAAAGAAAGAGTTTTTTAGAGGAAAAATATCGCCTCTAAAAAAACTCTTCCTTTATTACGTTGAATGTCTTTGTCTTTGGTACATGAATTCATAAGTCTTATATGACAACAGAAGTGCGATCTCAAAATTCGAAAAGAATGACAGGTAGCTAAAATTATGGAACGAATCGATGCGATATATCGCACGCCCCTCTGACCCCCCGTGCCGGGTAAGGGCGGCCCAGCAGCGCCGACCAGGTACCGGCACGTTAAACGCCACTCTTGTTGTTGTTGTTGACACAAAAAATGGCGTCCATCAAGTCACCTGGCCCTTTTGAGGATTTTTATAAAAATTCCCAATATACACCTAATTTGATTAACCGTTGATACTAATAAAGGAGTGCTGATTCTTCACTGATTTCTTGAGGGAGAAACCAAAAAAATACACTTATTGGAAATAATCAGAGTGTCAAATTAAAAGAAATTCTGACTTGGGTTCCGCGTTGGTGCCTACTCACTTATCTTTCCGGTATCGATGTCGTAGTCAAAACCAAAAATTTGCTCCAGCGAATATTCGCAGACGTACATCCTTGTGTACTTGGCATTCCACGCCAGCCCGTTGTAGAATGTCGCATCTTTACCCTGTTCAATCTTCAAATTACAATAATCTCTGTCGTATTTGAACAGACTGGCTTGGTTAGGCACCGTAGTTCCGTCACGCAACATCTTTCCTTTGGTATCTACAACAGATCGTTAAGTCCTCATTGAAACCATGTGATAGGGAACTTGTGTTTGGTTAGGGAGGTCCCAAACTCAACCCCCGGAGCAGGCAAAAAATTCCAAATCCAAATTCCAACACAAGTGCCTAACAGTTGGCTGTAAATGTTCTAATTGGGCCCCTGTGCATATAGCTGTGCTCAGTTTCAAAAATTTCGGTCGTACGGTGGTCCAACTTTGCCCCCCATTTTCTAAAAAACCGTGCGTATACTCAAGCTAAAATTTTTACCAGAGTTTTAGGGTATCATAAGGTATCGTTTGGGCCCGGTCTCAGAAAAATCCCCGCTGACCCAAATTGTGTCATTCTTGGCGTCGCTCTTTTCAGACATTTAAGATCAAATTCCAAAAAAAAAATTATCTAAGAAATTGACAGAAAAATATTCAGAAATTGTCCTATTAATTAGCGATTTGGTGAAGGAAAGGCGACGTCTGAAGGCTCAAACGGCGCTTTTCCTTAGCACTGCAGCACTCCAGAGTGACGTCATTTGTGACGCTACGTTACCCATGAAAGTCCGTCCCCTCCTTCTTCCCCTCTCTCCTGCTTTTTCTCTCTTTTTTTTTGGCCCGAGGGCGGAGAGGGGGAATGCCACCATGGCCCTCCGCCTGGATCAGCCACTGTTTCAGAATGACGTCACTGGTGACGCTACATTACCCATGAAAGTCCGTCCGGTGCAGTCTGCCTTTCCGTCGCTGAAGGTGGCGAAGGCGTCGTAGTCGAAGCGACCCAGGGTCACGACCTGGGGTTTACATTCCGGGCGCCCGTTCCACGTGATTTTCACCAACTTCGGTCCGAGTCCGGCCAAAAACTCGTTGCGCGAGTCCTGGATCGGGATCACACCAGCGAGCTCCTCTCCTGGGGACAAGAGAAACACAAATGGAGATGTTGCATGTTTGAGGAATTTGCGATTTGACTGTTGATTTACATGTAAAAAAGTTCGCGAGAAACACGGTGGTGCTACTGGTTTTCTCTGAAATCAACTCCCAAGCTCAAAAAAAGCTCTTAAGTTGAGGCCAAAATGGAGGGGATATCCCACGCTCTCCTGAGAGTCCACCTCTACATCAAAACAAACTCTCCATGCAAAGATAGGGAGCAAATACATTAGCAGTATGCCGTGTTTTCAGTTTTGGAGTCCCTAAATGAAGTGGCAGCCCTGTCAATGTATTTGCTCCCTATCTTTGCATGGATAGTTTATTTTTTGATGTAGACGTGAACTCTCAGGGTAGGATGGGATATCTCCTCCATTTGGCCTCAACTGGAGAGCTTTTTTTGAGCTTGGGAGTTGATTTCAGAAAAAACCAGTGGCACCATCGTGTTTCTCGCGAACTTTTACATAGGAATCAACAGTCAAATCGCAAATTCCTCACACATGCAACATCTCCATTGGACCGGATCAAACAGAAAGGAACCGAGTCACATCACGATGCTCAAAATGCAAAACCACGTATCTTCCTTGCGATGTTCCAAAATTTCTGCTCCCATCTTATTTTCACGAAGAGAAACTGACCGTTTCCATAGCTTAAAATTTGTATAGAATATTCTGCTGATATAGAAAAAAAAGAAAAAAACGTATCCAAAAATTATGTTGAATAGTTTTTCAAAGATAAAGTAAAGTGTGGCCCACAATATATATATATTTTCGAAATTATGGATGTGCAAAAAATTAGTTCTTCTTGGCCCAGAAACATTCCCCAAGTTTCGTCTCAATAGCTTATTTGGGAAAGTTTTAAAGGGGGCGGGGAGTACGGACTTTTGGAACATCCTGTAAACGACGGCTTGACTTTTTTTATCTTTTGAGAGAGACAAAGTCAATCATGTTTCTCGCAAAATTGTATAGAAAATCATGTACTTTCATAAAAAATATTCGTTGCTCGCAAGAGTTTTATTGAAAATGAGGGCACCCTGGTAAAAATTGGCAGTAGAATCTGTGTTCCAAAATACCATAGACCTACAGTTGTAAGATTTCCAATAGCTTCTATAGCCGGCTACACAATTTCTTATAGCCTTTTATAGCCGATGGCGATTAAGCAACAGCCAGGCGATAAAGTGTATGCTTAACGTTACTAATTACGGATGCTAGGACTTATTGAGTTTTTGGAATACTGCTCTCTTTTTGGGCCGTAGTAACTTGATTTATTTTGCGAGGAAAGCTCCGTACTTTTGATGGGTGCCTGCCATTACTAATATATTAGAGCGCCTTCAGTTTCGTATGATACTGTGCAATACCTATGGTGTGAAATAGTTGCTTCAAGCGCCATGGTAGGCGGGCAGCCAGCACGAAACACGCATTGGCGCCTACAAACCTAACAGGGATACTTCACGCGTTGCGCAATGCGTGAAGTATCCCTGTTAGGTTTGTAGGCGCCAGCTAGTGCGTCGCCGCTCCGCTTTGTGTTAGGCTCTAATATTTAATCTGGCGGAGTCAGCGTCATTCAACTCATGATTTTGAAATGTTTGCACATCCTGTATGGATTATTCTCGTTTTAATTGATGAAAAAAAAATATGTATTAAAGGAAAATATAACGATTGTTTTGTAAATATTAAGGTGGTTCCGTATCAAGCTTAATGATTTCCAAAGCACAAGAATTTCTACACAATTTCTTATAGCCTTTTATAATCGACGGCGAAAAAGCAACAGCCAGGCGATAAAGTATAAAGCCCGGCGATAGGAACTATAGCCCGGCTGCATAATTTTTTATCGCTTCGTATAGCCCGGCCGTATGATTTTCTCCGCATTCTACAGCCAGCTATATGATTTTCTGTAGCCTTCTTTAGCCGGCTATAAGAATTCCTATGGTATTTTGAAACGCAGCTCTTATCGCCAATTCTTACAAGGGCATTATTGGAATGATTTGTTAAATCGGATAAACCAGAGTTGCCACTGTCAGGGAACACCGGGGAGACGGGGAAATGTCAGGGAATTTTAACAAGTCAGGGAATACCTTGAAATGTTAGATATAAATCGCCGGGTCACCTTCATTTGCTCTCTCGAGCGGGTTTGAAGTTTCGAAAAACAAATTTTGCCTGAAAACTAATTCTATCAATGTCTTTTTAAAAATCTGGCATTTGTTCAATTGTCAGGGGATTTTATCAAAATGTTTCCGGGAAATCAGGGAAATTTCAGGGATTTTAATTTTCCAAATTCTGTAGCAACCCTGAAAAAAAAAGTGTTGAGAGTCTCATTTTACGAGAAAAATCTAAAAATAGGATTACCTACGCTGCAAGAACAGGTAGTGTACCCGGTTTGAAGATCGTATATACAAATCTTCCCGACGAGTTTGTCGACGAAGATGAGGATTTTGTTTTGGCAGTCGTAGTGCGGCTCCTCCGATATATCGAATGGTCCGGAGACGACTCTCATTGAAATCTTGCCAGCTTGCACGCTTCCCAGTGACAACAATGGGAACAGAAGCATCCAAAAACTGAAAGAGATATATCGATGGCTAAAGTTCGATAAAGATTAGTGGCGTGACGTGAACAATCAATCATCGATATTTCCCCACTTGAAGCTATAGTAAAGAATCGATTATTAAGGTGTTCGTTACGAACATCCTGTCATCGATTCTTTTCCGTAGGATTAAGTGGCAGATCAATCGATATATCACAAAGCACGCCACGCCACTGAAAGATGCGTAGCTCATAATTGCAACGTTTCAAAATCTCCATTTTAACTTTTACGAATTAAAAAAAAATCCGTAAGCAGTCATAATTTATTGTAATAGAGTGCGAAATTCGTGAACAATCAGGTAAAATTAAGCGAGAGAGCGAAATTTTTAAAGTTTTTCGCCCGAAGAAAATTCTGCAGAGTATTGACCTCTCGATTTTTTTCTCTTTTCTTACGAATTTGTTTACAGTGCCTCTTTTCTTTTTTTATGACATGTAGAGAAATTCAAAATTGTTCCTAGTTCTCGCAAAAATATCAAAATTTGTTTAATAAAAGAACAATGTATACAATCAGTGAACAATGTAGAACGATTTTTATACTGGAGGAATGTAACATTCTTTTGTGCTTCAACTCTCAAGTTTGTTTCATATTATGCAGATGGGTACTATAGTATATTTGCAAAATCTTGTTTTTTTTTACATAAAAAAGCAAGTGACGCGAGGAAATCTATCTTATTTTGACTCGGATGAATGATTTCACTCACCTTACGACTACCTTGACCTTACCACCTTAGTATGAGCAGACCTCCCACTCTCCTATAGAACAAACATTTAATCCATTTGGTTCATCCCGTAAAATCCCAATGTTTCCTCTCCAGAGAAAATCGTTGATGCTGTCCCGGATTGACCTCAGATTTCGTCCAGTTAAATGACCTCTTCGCAGTTCCAACAACGATGACCGATATAATCGCGAGTTTCCTTCGAGATCAATGTTTTCCTCCTTTTAATTGGACGTATTTCAGCCAGACGGAACTTTGTGCATTATAAAGTGAGCCTTGTCATGCATATATTTTTGTGGGTCTCAGGGCTCATGTCTTAATGCTTATAGTTCCGTTTGGCAGAAATACGTCCAATTGAACGTCATTAGATAGAAATAATCCATCTGCACCACGAAACTAAGAGAAACATCCCATCCTCACTTTTTTCTGCCCAAGAGGATACGCGTTTCTTGAAATCTTCCAGTAAAAATGTATCACTCCTACGTAATTGCGTCCAATTTTTCATAGCGGATTTATGACTGTGACATTATTTTCATCTGCCGTTCATTGTCGTCGAAGTGTACTTTAATGAGACCTTCCAGCTTCACACTCCGACGAACCCAGTGGAGACGTGAACGATTATCGATATTCCCCCATTTAAAGCTATGGTGAAGAATCGATTATTGGAGTGTTCGTTGTGAACACCTCGTAATCGATCCTTTTCCATAGGTTTAAATGGCACATCAATCGATAAATCGCAAAATACGCCAGGCCACTGGATGAATTTTGTGCGGTCCACCGAGATTGACGAACGAAAACATCCGCTCACACCGCTTTGTGAATCGTTGAAAGTCGAGGAAAAACTGGTATCCTAAGGAAGAACGCCGTATGAACCTTCGAACGTTGCCATGTTTCCTTTAATAAAACCTTAATTTACTGGGAAAATCTTGAATTTTTCCCTCGATTTTTTCCGACAATTTTGTCCTCAATTTTGTATAAAATGTCTGGAAATTTCGAGGAAAAATACGCATAATCGTTCCCAAAAATACATTTTTTATCTGGGACAATTTGGCAACTCTGCCGTGCTAAGGAAGAACGCCTTGTGAGCCTTCAGCCGTTACCACATTTCCTTCAATGAAACCTTAATTCACTGGGAAAATCTTGAATTTTTTCCCTCAATTTTCTCAGACAATTTTGTCCGCAATTTTGTATAAAATGTCTGAAAATTTGAAACTGCGATTTTCTGACTAACTGACCTATTATCAGTATGATGACGAACTACACTAGCATGATTAATTTATTACGTTGCTTCAACCTTGTGGTTTTCCCAAGAGTCTCACCTTAAAGAATGTTTCCATACTGACAAGAAGCTGCGATCACGGATATAGTTTTTCCCCGCCATCGGAACACTTACTAGAGACCACAATTATTCATTGGCTAGAAATCAGCCATCTGCACTGTAAAATAGATCATAAATGAAAGTAATTTATAAGTAATAGGTCAATAACTTGAATATCTCGCCTAATTTGCAAGTCCTCACTTTGTAAATTGGGTTTGAAAGAGAATGTTTTGTTTTTAGGAGAAAACTGTGCATGCGAGAAACTGTTAAACCAATAATAAAATATTTTCATTTTCCCTTGAAAGAATATTTGGTAATCTCTCGTTTACCACTTACTGTAATTTTAATTGAAACGCTCGTGCGTTGAAATTTTTAGATTTACTAGACAAGAGTATCACTTATCACTTTTTACTAATATAAGTAGGTACTGGCCTACAACCATATGAACACGATTCAATTGCTAGAGCAACCGATCCGTTGTCCACTTACCCAAGATACTCATAAGTTCCAGGTTGCGTTGTTGCCTATCTACTAATTGAAGGCGCGCCTCTTATTGAAATTCGTTGCAATTTTTCTTTTTCTTTTTTAAATGCGCGAAACAAATTTTTTTCATTATTTTAAATCGGCACTAACCGACCAAATGAGGTGAAAATAAATTGCAATTTTATTGGATGAAACTGTATCTCTAGATTTTCGTCGCACTGTGCTACTTGTAAAAACAAAAATTGCACAATAGGTCAGTTGCGCTGGTCACAGAATCGTATTTTGATGCTTGATTCTTGTAGATCAGCTAAAAATAAAAATATCTGTCTAAACAGCAACTTCCTGCGTTAAATACCAACCAAGATATCGCCCTTTGAAAAGTCGGGTTTTTGACGTCATCCACTGCGGAAGTGATACCCTTGGTTTTTTCCACCCAGCTTTCATCAGTCGGTGTGACGCACATTTGCAGTGGTTCCTCAACGTTAAACTCGGATGAAAACAAGGTGGAAGAAACCAAGGGTGTCGCTGTTTCGGCGGATAACGCTATAAATCGAATTTTTCAAAGCGTGATATCTGGGTTAATGTTGAACGTGGAAAGTTGATGTTCGGACAGACCTTGTTATTTCTAGCTGATGTACTTGAGAATTAAGCATCAAAACACAATTCTGTGACCAGTGCAACTGACCCATTATTACGACGCCTGTTGAGACCTATAAAATACTTTGAAACGTTCCTTAAAAAGCGGGCACTAGGAAGAGTATAAATAAAATACGTACATTTGTCTCTAAAGGAGCCCTTCTTTACTTGGAAACCACTTTTTATTTGCCTGCACACGGCTTCACTGCAACTGTGAAATCAGCGAGCATCAAATGACTGTGCGTTTTATATGCGTTCCTCTCATTTTCATCCGACTTCGCAATGAAAAGAGTCAGAATTTGTATGACTTTTCCTTTAGTTTGGTCCATCAGCTGCGAATGCAGCAGATGGTCTCTGCACTGACACTATTAAAGCTTACTTACTTTTCCCCAATTGTAGCGAACAATCGGACGTATTTCTGCCAAACAGAACTATGTGCATTATGACGTGAGCCCCGTTATGCATGTATTTTTATGGGTCTTAGGGCTCATATCTTAATGCGCATAGTTCCGTTTGGCAGAAATACGTCCAATTATTTTGTGCTAGCTTTATTAGTTCCAATTGCCTCAGCAGGCCGATTATTGGAAGTTTAAAGTAGACTGTCAAGACATCGATTTGCGATATATTGCATGGTTAGGATAGGGCTATGTCTTGTCGTGTCGGGCTGACATAGTTTCAATAATCGGGCTGCAGGTGTGCAGAGACGATTTGGATAAGAAGTTTTTGCGCCCGAACAATTAGCGCTACGCCCAGCCGCCGATTTTAAGTATTTCAGAGAGCCTGTCAACATTTGGCCGTCTTAAGGAAACACCAAGTTTCGTTCAAGTACCTACGTTTGTTCTGAACAAAACCTTAGGAAGAGACGATCTTCCAGTAAAATTTAAAGCCAGGCTAAGACTGGCCATTAGGCCGATCTGCCATTGGCAGATACGCCCCCTTGGCGTGACAAAAACGCGCCCCTCTGACAGATAATAAAATGAGAAGAGGAAAAAAATTACGACCTAGAATATTCGCGAAAAATGTCTTAAATGAATGGGAGAAGAGAGACTAAGGAGTAAAGAAGGTGCTTTTACGCGTGATAGTGGTGAATAGAGAACTACTTTCTGCAGCGTAAATAATTTTCTGTGAAATTTTCACCTTTTTGTCGACATTAAGGCGCTTTATCATCCCCCTCCTTCATTCAATTCCCTTAGAAGCTATGGTCGGTTCGATTTTTACACATACGCACCCTTTAAAGACATCTTGAGAGACCTTTAAATATATTTCCTAATTTTCAAAATGTCTATTGATTTGGACATACCTTCGGCTTTCTCGGGCAAACTTAACCTTAAGTTATCTCGAAATTCAAAAATAAAAGACCTCTAAAGTGTAAACGCGATACAACTATTTGCGCAAGATGGATGTCCTCATTGCATATGAAAAATGTAAGACGCGATGGCATGAGTCGTGAACTCGCAATGCTCTGCTCTATGCTACTAGTTTGAAGCACCATTACGAATAAGACAAACGCAAACAAGCACAATGTGGAAATAAAGCGAGGGAAAGGATGCGTGGTTACGACGGCGCAGAGATACAACTATTCGTACTTGACGGACGTCCGTGCTGCATCTGAAAAATTGAAGGCGCGATGACGCGAAGCGTGAGCTCTCAATGCGGCTCTGATGCTCTCTGAGCTACGTACTGTCAATGAGGTTTCGCTTAGATTCAGGAGAAAAGTTGAAAAAGAGGCCCGAATACGTCTTTCCTGTTTTCGGCTGTGTTGATACTCGTTCTTTCTTCTTTTTTTCAGCTTATTATCTGATTCTCTTTTAGGATGGATTTTCAGACCTACGTCTTGAGCTTGTGTAAATCGCAGCTTTGGCTCGGTTCTTTTCAAAATAATGGTGCTTGGATGCGTATATGGTGGCTTTAGTTTTTTATGTTTTCGTTAATTTCAGAAGTCTGACGATTACTTCGATACGTTCAATTTTGCAATTTTTACTCTGAACGATTCATAAACTTTGGGCCTGAAAATAGCGTAAACTTGTACTGCTTTGCCAAAATGTTCTGAACCCCTCTCCACGTAGGAGATGCCCTACCAGGAAATATAACATTACGCCCCTTTAACCAGCCAAGAGTCCACGCCCTCAGATGCAAGCCACTAGCCAGTCAAGCCAGTGCAAAGTTAATTTAAGAATCAAGATTTCTGGAAGTGCGTAAACTTATTTGACGTGGACTCTAGCTGTAAATGCGATGCGACCAAAACAGTTTGGTGCTATGAAGATTGAAAAGCTAGGAGTGAGTTTATAGAATTGACTGTTTAGGAAGATTTTAGGCAGAGCTAGAGTTTTCCCCTTTTTGATAGAGCACATTTAGGGAAATTAAACAGTAGCTACTTTTGATCTTAAAAACTTCTTCAAATTTTCAACTTGAGGTCCAATTACCCAAAAAATGATCGAGGTGATACGGGATTTTTTGCTCACCTAATGGGGATTTCTATGAAACATGTGAAGAGCTGTTTACTTCGTTTATTTTTTTACCTTTATAAGACGTGAAGTTGCTTATCAATCTGGCAATTTTGTATCCTAAATATGACGGATTAGAATTTTATAGAGCTTTTTCTGGCGACATTATTTTTCCAACTGCTGACTTTAACTCTCCATTAACTCGCGTTCGACAAAAACGAAACTATCTCAATTTATCACAAATTGTTTCTCAATAATTTGCGATAAATCGCCGTTGATAGAAACGCGATTTTATTGACATTCATGCGATGAAATCGCAACTTTTTATCCGATAATATTGCAATGGTCGACGTCGGAAGAATCACGATACATTCTCCGATCACATCGCAATATATCGACATCACTCTTACTTGAATTGCACTAGTTGGACTGCCTTTAAAAGAAGAAGTTAGTTCGGAATAAAACCATGCCAATTTTCGTTAGATTAAAACATACAATGGTTTTTTTTCGAGACATGAGCAATATGGAGTTTAAGTGCTATCAATTAGTGACAATGAATAAGTCGCGGATTTTAACAGCAAAAAGGCAAATTTCTTGGTATCTTTTCTCTGAATTCTAGTGAAGTTTCAAGTGTGTCTCCGTCCGCACTATTACGGAGAAAAAAACTTCGTGCGTGGGACCCGAAGTGGAGGTCATATGGATCTCTGAAGTTTTCTGACCACGCATCTGAAAACTTGAGGTCGAGCTGCCGAAGTTCGGGTCAGACATCGAGGCCCTTCGGTATATATCGAAAAACTTCAGATGTCTGACCCGAACTTCGGTAGCTCGACCTCAAGTTTTTAAAACTAAATCCGAAAACTTCAGAGATCCATATGACTTAAACTTCGGGTCCCACGCACGAAGCTTTTTTCTCCGTGATGGGCGGCCTATAAATCAGAAATTTACTTTGGAATGAAACAATGAAAAATTTCAGTTTAAATACAATTTTTAATACAATTTACTGTTTGTTTTTTATTCAAGACATGAGTAATGTGGAGAATTAGTGCTAACAATTCGTGACATTGAATAAGACGGATATTTAGGCAGCCAAAAAGGCGCCAAGACAAGCTCAGGCGTAAAATCGAACCAGCTAATGAGTAATGATCTTACTGCATGGCTCAAAGAACTTAGTAATTCTTCCTAGCGGCAAGAACTGATAACAACCCTTCAACGAGATCGTCACAGCCACCATTCCCTCTGCACGATCCACATGCACCAGGAACGTAACCTGCTCTTCCAGAACCGTATGGACCTCTGCTACAACTTCCGCAGGAACCTCGAGGTGGTCCAGAGCTTCCGCTAGGGCAGCAGTTTCCGCTCGATCCATAGCCACATGATCCACAGCGTCCACCACATCCAGATCCGCCACATGATCCACAGCGTCCACCACATCCAGAACCTCCACATGATCCACAGCTTCCACCACATCCAGAACCTCCACATGATCCACAGCGTCCACCACATCCAGAACCTCCACATGATCCACAGCTTCCACCACATCCAGAACCTCCACATGATCCACAGCGTCCACCGCAACCAGAGCTTCCACATGATCCGCACCCTCCACAAGATCCACAGGGTCCACTTAATCCGTAGCAACTGCATGATCCGCAGCCTTTACACGAGGTATAACCGCCTCTGCCGCAGCTTCCACACGATCCGTAACCATCTCCTCCGTTGCCTCCACACGACCCGCAACCGCTTCTTCCACAGCCTCCGCATGACCCACTACTTCCGCAGCTCCCGTTCCCACTTCCTCCACATGACCCGCTCACTCCATTTCCACAGCTGCAACCCGATCCACTGCCATTCGTTCCGTTGCTGCTTCCATCCGATGTGTTGTTTGTCGATGTACCGGAATCCTTAACGTACGATTTGCAGCAGCAACATGAACTGTAACCTTTGCTACTCCCACATGAACTCCCACACGATTTACCGCAGTCGCACAAGCCGTAACTGTTAAATCCACCAGAGTTACAGCAGCCACACGATCCGTAGCCGTTACCACTCCCACACGAGTTACAACAGCCGCATGATTCGTACCCGTTGTTGCATCCACAAGATTTGGAGCATCCGCACGACTCGTAACCATTGTCACAGCCACACGACCCGTAACCGTTGTTGCATCCACCAGATTTGCCACCTCCACAGGATCCTCCTTTGGAGCATGCGCCGAATCTGTAGCCAACTCCTCCGCAAACGTCACAACATCCACAGCATCTTTGGTAGTCTCCACTGGATGCCGTGCGGAAACCGTATTTTCCACCGTATCCGCATGATCTGCAAGAATTCGAGTTGCTATTAGTGGTATTATTACCACTATTATTGCTATCGTTGTTGTTACTTTCGCTTCCACCGTTGTTGGAATTTTTATCCTGGCTGTTCCCGTCGTTGTTATTGTCTTTATCATCGTCATCTTTGTCGTATTTTCCACAGCGCGTGCACCCGCAAGGGTTGTAGAATCCACTGCAGAAGCAGCCGCCCCTACAGATGCAGGCGTCGTTGGCCGGCAATCCTTGCGCACACAGGTTGTAGACGGCGAAAACACTGCCTGCCTGAGGCTGTCCCTTTTTCTCGTCACAAGTCAGAAATCTCCGTGAAGTCGTGACGTACAGAACATCAAGTCCGCAACCACCAAATGTGAGAGCAATCACATCTCTGACGGGGAATGGGATCTTTCGCATTACCTTACCTGTAACCGGGTCCACTTGAAGCACCTGAAATATTTCGAATGATCCAGTTGAAAAGTTTGACAAATAGGTTTTCCGTTGACTGCATACTTTTTTAACGTTACTGATATCGGTTGCGTAAATTCATTCTCGTGCTAGAATTTAACTGTATTGATAAACTTTTAATAATGGTGTCTAAACTTTGTGTTTTTTATTCGATTTGTTGAAAATACATACTATGTGAGTAGATTGCGTGGTGATTCATTGCGTATTTTTGGAACCGAAATCCCGTACAAGCCCACTTTTAAAAAGCTCAAAGACTCGATGGAATTTCAGACGTGCTGAAATGACGGGAAAATGATGGAAGATGTAATACGGTAGTCAAATTGCTATTTTTTCTCATTACCCGCTAATGTTTGTTAAAATAGATCTTATTTCAAAGTGAAATTGTTGCATCTTAACTGCAGAAAACTAGAATGAGATTCGGCTCTGTGATTCTGAAGATATAGTTTCGACTTCTTTATTGTTTCCAATTGCGAGGAGTAGAAAGACATTTGACGGAAGCCAAAGAAACCAAAGCTCGCTTCTGATAGGTGCTGAATGACATCATTCGGTTTGGCGCGAAACTGGGTCGTTTTTTTGCGGAAAAGTTGCGCTTTTTGAACTGCGCATTTTTCAATGTATGAGTTACTCTTTCGCATCTCTGATGTGCGCATCTTGTTTAACGCGTTATTCACCCTCAGGAAAATGTATTTGCAAGTCAAAAATGTCCATGGTTCGGTGACCCATTGCATTTATATCTTCGTACTTTTCTTTCTATTTATATAGTATTTTTTATGAATGTCTCGTGAGGAAATTATTATTATCTTTTTTTCATAATAAAAACAAGCAAGTTTTTTGAGAGTACTCGAAGCACTGAAAAATTCACTTACTTTCCCACCTCCTTGACTACCGACCCATAAGTTCCCGCAGCAATCGATTGTCAGTCCATTAGGTCTCCCATCTTCATTTGCTTTATCATAATCGAACACCATCCTCTTATTGCCTGAAAAATATGTTGAATTAAGACATTGGAAGCTTGTCTGGGCTTGTGAACCCGGATACGACGCAAAAAAAGAGGGCATACTTAATCTTCCCTCCTTCCTAAAAGTATTCAAAGAAAGATAGCAGCCTTTTATACTTAAGGCGAGCTTAAAATTTGTATGTTAGCTCTGAGCCAATCGCAATGTTTTTTTTTTCATTGATTCAAGGGGTGCGCGGTAAGTTTTGAAAACGTCGAATTACACCGCGTTGATTCATGGGAAAAATCACTGCGCGAAAGACTCGGTATAGGAAGATAACAATTAAAAACGTGTTGCCTAACTTTTCCTGCGTTCCACTCCTTCCGACTTCAGGTGATTCGATGGACACCATATTTTGTGTCAGAACGGCATGCGATATATCGCATCAGTTGGTTCCATTTTTTCAGCTACTCGTCATTTTTCTACAATTTTGAGATCGCAATTCTGTTGTCAGGAGACTTAAGCACTCACTTACTAATTTTAACAAAGAAATTAAACGTAATGAAGGCGTGGTTTTTTAAGAGGAGAAAATATCGCATTCGAGTGCAGTTTCGATATCAGTATCGAATGCTATGTTTTCTCTCTAAAAAAAAACCACGCCTTCATTACGTTGAATTTCTTTGTTAAAATTGGTAAGTGAGTGCTTTAGTCTCCTGACAACAGAATTGCGATCTCAAAATTGTAGAAAAATGACGAGTAGCTGAAAAAATGGAACCAATTGATGCGATATATCGCATGCCGTTCTGACACAAAATACGGCGTCCATCGAATCACCTTAAGGGCGAGACGTGAAAAAGGGCAAAAAAAGCGACACAAAAAAGGTTGAATGGGTCAGTTGCGCTGATCACAGAATTTTGTTTTAATGCTCGATTCTTGTAGATTAGTTAAAAATAATAAGATCCGTCCACGCAGCAACTTCCTACGTTCAATATTTACCGAGATAACGAGTCGGCTGTCTTACCAGAATATTCCGTGTAAATTCTAGGCTATGACACTACTGGCTTATTGCTCCTAGATATTCTTTTTAAAAAATTAAATAAAATAAAAACGATTAATTTATTATTACTATTATTGATTTTATTCGTCATGTTTTAATCGTGTGAAAAAATTCTCATGGGCCCTCAAGAGATAAAAGGTTTTCAACGTCTGAATCGAAGAGTTTAGAGTGATACTTGCACTTCATCTCCGGCCTAAATATCACAAGCGCCACTTGACGTTTCAAAATTTCTGCCCCCATTTGATTTTTTACAGAGAAATTATTGGCTGAATTTGTTTGGAAATTTCACTGGATTTTATCGGCAGCACAAAGGAAATTCAGTTAAATTTTAGGACAGTTTCGTTGAAAAATTTCTCTCTGAAGAAATAAAATGGCGGCGGAAATTTGTGAACGTCGTATGGCGCTTATGATACGTTGGCCGGAAGGTGACGAAATGTAAATCTCATTGTAATCTCTTCGATTCAGGCGTTGACAACCTTTTATCTTTTTGGGGCCCATGAGAATTAGGTATCTATACGATTAAAATATGACAAATAAAATCAATAATAGTAATAGTAAATGCATTTTAAAACAAATTAAATTTTTTTAAAACATTTTTTTAAAGGAGAAATAAGCCAGTTTCATAGCTAGGAATTTTTACAGAATTTTCTAGTAAGAGAGATGAAAAATCAATCGGCATTTAAAATTATATCAAATATTGGCATTTTGTGGGCGCACTCACTTGGTTTGCCAGTTTTGAGATCGTAGTCGAAACCGTAGATTTTTTTCTTTTTCGTCTCGCACATGTACATTGTTGTGTAGTTGCAATTAAACGCGATTCCGTTGAGGTAGTCTTCTCTGTCATCCTTCCCGAGAGCGTCCTTCAAACCACACTCCCTCGCCACGTATCGGTACAAAGTGGCGAACCCACTCTCCGTTTCGCCGTTAGGTTTTACAGGTCCTTTAGTATCTGCAACAATTCAGTCGTTATCACATCAGAAACTCCTAAATCAGCCGTAATGATATTTAGCGTCTTATTTAAAATGTTTGTTTCTATCTCCTCAAATGGACCGTGTTTAACAGAAAGGAACCAAGCCACATCGGCTATTGCCAGATTCAATTGGGAAATTTAATTTTTTGGTTTTGTTGGAGTTTTTTAGCCAACGTGCGTTAAAATTTCAGCATAAAACTGAAATTATAACAGCCCCTGTGACCCATTCTGTCGTGAAAGCGAAGAGAGCAGTAAATGCAAAAATGAAATTTTGAGGTAACGGGCTCAAAAGCCTGATTGGAAAATTGTCTTGAAAGAAGCCTCCGTTCTTTGTCAAATTGCCGTGAATCGTTTGAAAGATTCTTAGCAATCGTTTGGATGATTCATGAAGATCCATTTCGATGGTCGATGCAAGTCGATGATGCAAAAATAAGAATATTCTATTATCGAGGCGGGAGAGGGGGCAAGTAAAATACCCCCCCCCCCTTTTCATACTGCCGTGATAGCGAGGAGAGCAGTAAGTCCAAAAATGAAGTTTTGAGAAAACTGTCAGAGACCGGCAAATTCATTGAAAGAAGCCTCCGTTCTCTGTCAAATTGCCACTATCGTCCGAAAGATTCCCTGGTAAAAATTGGCGATAAAAGCTGCGTTTCAAAATACCGTAGGAATTCTTATAGCCGGCTAAGGAAGGCAACAGAAAATCATATAGCTGGCTGTAGAATGCGGAGAAAATCATGCGGCCGGGCTATACGAAGCGATAAAAATTATGCAGCCGGGCTATAGTTCCTATCGCCGGGCTTTACACTTTATCGCCTGGCTGTTGCTTTTTCGCCATCGATTATAAAAGGCTATAAGAAATTGTGTAGAAATTCGTGTGCTTTGGAAATCATGAAGTTTAATACGGAACCACCTTAATATTTACAAAACACACGTTATATTTTCCTTTAATACATAATTTTTTTCATCAAATAATACGAGAACAATCCATACAGGATGTGCAAACATTTCAAAATCATGAGTTGAATGACGCTGACTCCGCCAGATTAAATATTAGAGCCTAACACAAAGCGGAGCGGCGACGCACTGGCGCCTACAAACCTGACAGGGATACTTCACGCATTGCGCAACGCGTGAAGTATCCCTGTTAGGTTTGTAGGCGCCAATGCGCGTTTCGCGCTGACTGCCTGCCGCGCCGCACCGCAGCGTGCTACGGCGCTTGAAGCAACTATTTCACGCCAGAGGTATTGCACAGTATCATACGAAACTGAAGGCGCTCTAATATATTAGGAATGGCAGGCATCCATCAAAAGTACGGAGCTTTCCTCGCAAAATAAATCAAGATACTACGGCCCAAAAAGAGAGCAATGGTCCAAAAACTCACTAAGTCCTAGCATCCGGAATTAGTGACGTTTAGCATACACTTTATCGCCTGGCCGTAAGTTGCTTACTCGCCATCGGCTATAAAAGGCTATAAAAAAATTGTGTAGCCGGCCATAGAAGCTATTTGAAATCTTACAGCCGGCCGTAGGTCTATGGTATTTTGGAACACTGATTCTACTGCCAATTTTTACCAGGGTTCCTAGCAATCGTTTGGATGATTCAAAATCGACTGATTTTATTTCAATCACGAGAAAAGGGTATTTTTCATTTTCATACTAGATCATTGTTAGGCAAGACAGCCGTAAGTGCTATCTTCTGCGTGCTTTCGTGGTTGCATTTTGGACACGCAACAAACGCGTTTTCAGGTTAGAAATTGGCAGAGGAGGGCGGCTTTTCACTTGAAAGCACTGTTTTTATTGGATCTCTGGGGAGAATAATGTCACTTGTTGCTGTGTTTCCTGAAACTGCGTCTTTTTTGCGCCCTTAATTGGCTTTCTCATAGGTATGTCTCGTTTTGATGCAATTAAGTTGAATTTTGTTGTTTTGGCAATTTCCGTTATTTCATCTAAAAGAGCTTAGATGTATTTTGAAGGAGACTCTATTTCGAAAATTTGACTCCTGCTCTGCCGTGCTAAGGAAGAACGCCGTACGAGCCTTCAGGCGTTGCCAAATTTCCTCTAATAAAACACCAATTTCCTGGTAAACTTATGAATATTTTCCTTCCAATTTTTCAGATAATTCTGCTCGCAATTTCACCGGAAGTCCCCGAAAATTTCAAAGGAAAATACTCGTATCTTTTCTCAAATATAAACATTTTACGGAAGGAAATTTTGCAACTATCGAATGTTCGTACGGCGTTCATCCTTAGCACGGCAGTACTGCTCTCTTCACTATCACGGCAGATATTTCAGTGATTTCATCGGAAAGAGATCAGACGAATTTTGAAGGAAACTCTATTTCGAAAATTTGACCCTCACTGCTCTCTTCGCTATCACGGCAGCTCTGCGACCCATTATTTCATTTTTTTTTTTTAAATGTTCACGAAGTGACTCAAAGAGGCCCGCGGAGCACTCATCTGTGGTAGAGTCCCTTCATACCCAGAGTTAAGACAACTCGATTATCAGCTGACTGGCAGCCGGCCTTGGCTGGCCATGGAGGCCGAAACGAGTGCACCCAAACGAACGATATTGAGGGATAAGGATCAGGAATCCTGCGATGTCTGTCACACAAAAACAACATCAACAAATTGATCAGTTAAAAAGAAAATGAGATCGGTTTGTGAATAATTTCTTAATCTATTTTCATTTTGGACCGATGGAAATAACAATTTACTCTTGAAAAACCACAATTAGGTAATATTTGCATTATTCTTGTTCACATTCGAGGTACCGCCATCTTGGTGCACTCGTTTCGGCCTCCATGAGCGAGAACCAATCAGAATTGGATTTTTTTTAGGCCTCTTCCAGCCCAACCCTGGCCCAGCCAAAAGTGAGTTGTCTTAACTCTGGGTATAAAGGGACTCTAATCTGTGGTTGGGCCGCATAAAGGCCGGGGCACGGGACCCCTCGGTAACTTAAATACAAGCTTTTGTGCTTTTGGAATGATGAGGGGACGAAATCTTACTCATGAGGACATGCCCGAAGAGGTCGGCCTTTCCGTCGTTGAATACGACACCACGTTTTTCTTTGTCATGTCGACTTATAATTGTGATCTCCGGACAAGTATCGCAGCATCCGTCCCACTTCATCTTCGCCATTTTCGGTCCGTAGCCAATTATATACTCGTTGCATGAGTCCAGAAGCGGGATCACTGAGCCCAGTGGCTCATCTGCAAGTGCAAAGCAATGTTAAAGTGTGGAATCTCTCTCAAAGTATGCCCATTACAGAAAAATAACTCCGTTTACGCGTTTTACACTGGAAAAAAAACACATTGGATCTAGAGTGCAGACTCTTGAAAACATCGACAAGAAAAAATACTCTTGATTCAATCGGATTTTTGCTTCAATCAAGAACCAAACCTCTTAATTTGAGCGGATTTTCCTTTGATTTAAGCAAAAATGTGATTGAATCAGGAGTATTTTTCCTTGTCAATGTTTTCAAGAGTCTGGACTCTAGAACCTATGTGTTTTTTTTTTTTTTTTTTTCCAGTGTAAGTTACATTCAAAGAGTGAGAATATCTCTGAGTGAAGTAAAAATCTAAACTTAGTTAAAATGACTTTGTAGGTGAGTACGTAGCCAAAGCGCTAAAAAGGTGGAAGAATAACTTAAATAAAAACTAAAAATATTTGGTCAAAGCTCTTGAATCGTCCTTTGAAAATCGAGTTTTCATAGCCGTCGTTTCATTTAGACGAGATTAAATACGAGAATACGACCCTATTTAAGCACTATAAAATGGACGTATTTCTGTCAAACGGAACTAAGCGCCAATTTGAGTTCCTTTTGAGGAATTTAGAATGCCGGATAGCGCGTTCTGTCAAACGGAACTAAGCGCCATGGAAATACATTGCGAGTATAGGAGCGAATGAGCCCGACGCCCGGTTTCGCCGCCAATTCAAGCCCCCCTCTACCTTCCTCACCCTATGGCGCTTAGTTCCGTTTGACAGAAATATGTCCAAATATCGTATGGACCTAAGTAACATGCAGCCCGTTAAGACAACCGACGTCTCTACCTTCCTCACCCTATGGCGCTTAGTTCCGTTTGACAGAAATATGTCCAAATATCGTATGGACCTAAGTAACATGCAGCCCGTTAAGACAACCGACGTCATTGACAACCCTAAGGGAAACGATTACTTAGGCTACTGCCTCAGAGATGGATATATGGATTACATTTTGCAATAAGCAGCCAATATCTCTGGCCCTTACATAAAAGCACATATCTGTATAGGGAAACTGAAACCTATGGCATAATTGTTGTTTCTAAAATGGACCAGAAATAGTGGTTCCTTATTGCAAAATATAATCTATATGTACAAAGCTGGCTCTCTTCTTCTGACGATGATTAACTATTCCATTGATGATTTTTATCGATCGGACAAATCCTTAATTTTTACCGATTTTTGAATTTTATAAAACGAATACGATTTAATGTGCTCGATTAGAGACTGCCTGACAAACAGGGCTATGGCCCTAGTCGTTCGCGGAAGAAGAGGACCTAAGTTGTAACCGTCTTTTGAAATCACCATTCCGCTAATTTGTCTCAGTAATTTTCGAGTTTAGGATAGGTACCGAAAAAAGGATTACCTAATTCACAGGTGCAGGATGTGCAACCAGTGTTTGGGTCGTATATGCAGACTCTTCCAACGTACTGATCGATGAATATAAGAATATCATTCTGTTTATCGTAATGCGGATTATCCAAGTGGTCGAAAGGACACGTGACTTGTCGCATAAAATAATCGCAATTGCAGTCGCAATCGTTGTTTGTGGAATTATTGTTGGAGTTGTTTTGAGTTGTGCTGTTTTGATTTGTGGAACTGTCTGGAGTTGTGGAAGTATTCTCAGAGGTGGTGTTGTCTGCGGGTGTTTCTTCAGCCCCGTGCACTACTTGCAGCGAGAGTAGCAGCACCAGCCATATCCAGTGACTGAAAATTCAAGAGATAATCCTCAACGTGCACATAGACGGTGAAAAAAGGGTGACAGGTGGAAATGTCCAACACAAAATGTTCAATCACCAAAAACGTCCACAGTTAAATGCCCGAACATTGTTTATTACTCAACACAAAATGTCCATAAACTGCAATGTCAACAAAAATTTCAGTTTCTTATTTGCCTTTCTTTAAAAAAACTTCAAAAAAATTGTCAAGAAAAGTAGAAAAAAATACTAAACACTGTGAAAGAATTTTGTGACCTAACCCAATGAATTTAACAACTGGGCAGTTGGAAGTTCCAAATTCGCATTTTTTTGCAACGATTTGGACACGTCCTCTCTTGGAACATATTTGTTGTAGGGCATTTTGCAGTTAGGACATTATTTTCATTGGAATTGTAATTGGACATTTTACATAGGGCATTATTCTTACTGGACATTTTCTAATGGACATTTCCTCTGAGCACCGTAAAAAGAATCGTCGCACTTAACATGCTCCTAGTGGATCCCAGGTTCTATACCGAACAGGGTATGGATTCGATCGATTCACACTGAAAAAAAAATTCTCGGCGTTTTTACTAAGGTCCGTTGTTACCTTTACCATCTCAATTTTTTTTTTAAAAATTGGTAGTTTTACCAAGACAGACTGGTAAGCTTACCTAAAAACCGGTATTTTTACTGTATTTTTCAGGTAAGAATACCACTTTTATTGGTAATCAATTCCCGGTAACTTTGCCATTTTATCTCGGTAATTCTACCACAGTCGATAAAAAATATTGGTGTTTTTACCAAGGTCCAGTAAAATTACCGAGAAAGTTCAATAATTTTACCGAGATTTCTCGGTAAAGTTACCAATTCCATTAATGGTAGTTTTACCAAGAAAAAATTTGGATCAAATAGAACCCTGAATTATCGGTAATTTTACCCTTTTCTTAGTAAATACAAGGAGATTTTTTTTTCAGTGCATGTCAATGGAATCGACACCGGCTCTTTAATCACTTGTCGGTCGAATGATTCACGTTTTTATTTTTCAATCAATTCATGTCGATCGAATCCATACCCTCCCGTACCGACTTTCTCAGTCGTGCTTACAATTTTACGGTAGAGTTCAAAATGATTTCGATCCCTTTAACAAGGCAGCATTGTTGTCGAGACCGGATTATTATTGCAAGAGAGCAGTGGCGTGGCGTGTTTTGCGATGTATCGATTGATCTGCCATTTAAACCCATGGAAAAGGATCGATAAACAGGGTGTTTGCAACGGATACCTTAAAAATCGATTCTTCACCCTAGCTTCAAATGGAGAAAATCGATAAGCGATCATTCACGCCTTACCACTGTAAGAGAAATATCGTAACTCCCTGTAGGACTGCGGAAGGATCGAAAACAGTGGCGTGGCGTGAATTGCGATATATCGATCGTTATGCCATTTAAACTTATGGGAAATGATCGATTATTAGGGTGTTCGCTGCGAACACCCTGTTTATCGATCATTTTCCATAGGTTTAAATGGCATAACAATCGATATATCGCAATTCACGCCACGCCTTTGATCGAGAAACGTGGCAGTTAGATATGGCAGAGCGCCAGAGAGTGTTATAACAATCTGTGTGTACGTAAAATGTAAAAAAACATATTTAAAACGACTCTTAATAGATGTACAGTAGTTTCTCAAAACTTAAATTGTGTAAAAAATAGTGTCCAAGAAACTTTAACAAAAGGTACCCACGATTAGTTCTTTAAAGAATCCTGAAAGTCAATTTTACCCGCCTCACCTTGGAAAAAAACACATTGGATCTAGAGTTCAGACTCTTCGACATCGACGTCATCGACATCAATGCAGAGTGTGCTAACATTTCAAAATCATGAGTTAAAAAACGCTAAATATTAAAGCCTAACGGAGCGGAGTGGCGTGCTGCCAGCGCGAGAGGCTCACTGGCGCCTACAAACCTAAGTGGATACTTCACGCATTGCACAATGCTTGAAGTATCCACTTAGGTTTGTAGGCGCCAACGCGCATTTTGCGCTGGCCGCCCGCCCGCCCGCCCACCGTGTGGCGGCGCCTGAAGCAACTATTTCACAACAGAACGTCAAATACCGACAAGAAAAAATACTCTTGATTCAATCAGACTTCAGCTTAAATCAACAACCGAGCCTTTTAATTTGAGCGGTTTTCCTTTTGATTTAAGCTTAAATCTGATTGAATCAAGAGTCCGTTTTCTCGTCAATGTTTTCAAGAGTCTGGACTCTAGATCCAATGTGTTTTTTTTTCTGATGCAGTAAATTTAATTTTCAAAAATATCGGAAAAGAGTTCTCTCTTCCGCGAATTTGACAGTATTTAAAAATTGTTGTAATTTTTTCAACACGTTTTTCCCCTAGGAATGACGGTAATAACCTCAAAGAAGGTGCATCTCGATTTGCCATATTTGAGATTTACCTATCGTGAATAGGCAATAATTTAAAAAGAAAAGGAAAGAAAAAAAGGCAACGGTGGATAATTTGAAGCATCGCGATCGAAGCGAGTGTTCGCGAAACGAAATTCGTAGGTGTAGGTATATATCTTTGTAGTCCTTACCGTCGAACTCCTTTCGTTGAAGAGGAGACCCACATGACTGAATTGAACCTATAGGACAAAAAATTTAGAGAATATCGTAAGAAATAGTTTACAAAGGATAGGTAATAGGATTGCAACCAATAAGGCTATTACCCAATGAAAGTCCTCATTTCCCGCCGGTAGCTAGAAACTTAACCCAATTTTTTTCACCCGATACCCAGTTTGGCCAACTAATTTAATCCAAGTCAGTTGGCTGTGTTGCTCACGTCGCCCTTTAAGCCCCGCAGTAAATAAGATAAACGGAACCGACACAACATGGAAATAGAGTGAGAGAAAGTACTCAGAGAGATACAACTATTCGTGCTTGATGGATGTCTGTGTTGTATCTGCAAAATGGAAGGCGCGATGCGTGAACTCGCAATGCTCCGCTTTATGCTTTATGCCATCAATGAGGTATCGCTTGGGCCTTGTCTTCACGGGATGTTTCATGGGATTTGTCCCTGGGAAAAATCCCACTTACGAAGTTGGGAAAAATATTGAGTTAATCAATAGTTTTCCCAGTACCAAGTATGGTACTTGTACCCCTAGGACCCACCGAGAGAAGAAGAAGAAGAAGTGAAAACGCATTGTGCGATATTTTATTCATTACTCCATTGTCAATGTTTTTTTAGTTAAAATAATGTGTCTACTTGTCAATTGAGTGCAATTATTATTTTAATCCCGGTTAAATACTCGACTTTAACTAATTTATCCTCCCGCGCAAACTAGTCACAGGACTGTATGAGCCCCGTCCCGTGGAGACGGTAACTGGGAAAAATCCCAGAAGTTTCATTCCTTCGATTCGAACTTGGGACAAACGAGGGAATGGTCGCGCGTTGATGACGGCGCAGGGATACAACTATTCGTGCTTGATGGATGTCCGTGTTGCATCTGAAAAATTGAAGGCGCTTCGGCGCGAGACGTGAACTCGCGATACTTCGCTCTGATTCGGGAGAAAACTTATAAAAACCAGACCCAAAAACGTCTCTCCCATCTTTCGTTGTGTTGATATTTAATTTTGCGCTTTTTTTCAATTTGATGCCTTAATTTCTTTTAAAATGTAATTGTGAATGAAGTAGAGAAAAAAAATATTCTCGGTATGGAAGTTTTGCCATATTTAGCGATACTTTCCAATGATGAAAAAAAACTGAGAGGTGTTTAACTAATTTAGTAAACATGTTTGTGTCTTGACTCGAGTTTTGAGGTTTCTTTCCTGCAGAAGAGATAGAGACAAAATTAAATTTTGATCAGAAAACCCTGAAACATTCAGTGGAATGATTTTTTCTTTATAAGAATGAGCGGGCAATCGGGCATCCTGTAACAACGCATATCTCTCAAAAAAAATTCATGACCCTGCATGATTACCTATGTTTTCTCACGAGCACTACTGATAAACTCATTTGTAATGACTTCTAGCACCCACAAGAGCAGTGTTCGAAACTCACAGGCGCCAACACGCCAAATGCGCCTAAGAAATCGGTCATGGCGCCGAAAAAACGAAGTCTCTGCGCCAACGTGGCCCATAAAAAATTACCTCCTTCCCCCTAAAAAAAACCCCTAATTTTTCCGTATGGTGATTTTTCGAAATTTCTCCCAAGCTCCGGCTACTAGTTCTGCGATTAAAATATCTTGCATCTAACTTTTCAATAAATGCGCTGTGATTTATGGGCAAAAAGTGAATTTGGCCCTTAAAAAATCTTCAATGGCCCCTAAAAATTAAGCAAGATGCGCCACATGGCTCCTAAAACTCGAAGGTGAGTTTCGAACAATGCACAAGAGAGTTTGTTGAGAAATTATAACTTACTTTCAGTTCCCTCTTTCACTCAACGCTACTTATATATGTAAAACGCTGTCAGCTGGAACGCACTCAACTTCACCGTAACATTGAAAACAGTGAGCTTTTTCAAAACTTACATTATATACTCAATTTTCAGTCATTTTCTCGGTAGTGAAATAGATTGTAATCCCATCGCCATTTGGTCATTTTCTTGTTCCTCCCCACGTGTAACTTCTCAGACGCGGTCCAGGCCGCCGATAATGGAGCTTTGTAGTCTCAAGTTGACCAAGAAATGCTGCCGACAAAGACCAAAGCTCATCAAAGTTCCCGAGCTTTAAGAAAATTGCGGTCGTTTGGTGGAGCGGATATCGGCAATTAAACTCAAACTCTGCGCTTTTGGCGGTTGTTTATCTTTTCACGCCGCGGAAGTTACTTCGTATTTCATAGTGTCATGCAGGTGAGACGGCGCGCAGTGGATCAAGTCAATCAGAGAAGTCGGACAAAATATAGCAACTTTAAATGCTCGTACCTCCGTTTTTACTGAACATTGAGGTTTTGAAAATGGTTTCAACGGTTTCCTCGTGACATTTTCTTCTAAAAGCACCCCTTGAAATTTAAAAAGTGACGAACTAAACATCAAAATTTGCAGTTTTAGTCTAATATTTCATGTCCGACCTTTCTGATTGACTCGATCCACTGTGAAACGTATGTCTTCGTTTGCGCAGTGTCTACCTTTTCCTCAATTTTGAGCTTTGAACTTTACCAAATATTTATCGTGGGCCTGCGATTTCAGTCCATGGCCTAAAATTATCCCCGAAGAAGGAAACTTTCCTTGACTTAAACGAATTTTTCTACTGTTGAATCCGCTTTTTGATCCAATTTTTGACTATAATTCATGGTCCCTACTCTATGAGACATATTTTTGTCTATGCCTCTATGCTCATCAGTGATTCTTACAAACATTCTCGGGTTGAACTTGAGGTTTATGTTTTCGTCAAAAAGATAGCGATAACGTTCAAGCGATCCATTTCGCAGACGCTTAAGTTTTGAATATTTTGATACCAGGAATTTTTGAAGGTTCCTCTTCGTATGAGAGGAATTTGCTCTATTTTTGCCGCGAATTCTTTACATTTCGATATGCAGCGACAGTAATTTCTATAGTAAGATAGAAAATTATTCGTCTTATCCACACAGAGAAGAAGATAATAGCGCATCCATGTTTCGAGACTTAATTTCAATTGAATCAGAAAGAACGAAAACACACCAATTCGAAAAAATGAAAATAATCAAGACACGCACACAACTTCACAGTAGGTAAAGAAGTTAGTCTCAGAAAAAGATTTTTGTCGCCGAAAGACGAGTACTTAAGAACACTTTAAAGATCCAAGTTAAAACAGATGCACTAACTTCAATGACCCTAATGAAAATTGACTGTCTTGAATGAAAATTGAGAATTTTCGAGTTACCGAGTTGGTGTGTTTTCGGTCTCACTGATTCAATTCAATTTCCAGATAACGATTACGATTCTTTCAGAAATATATTCACTGATTTCATAATGTCTATTGTCAATGCAAAATTTTTTAAACTTACTCTTTAAATTTTTTGCATCAATAATTTTCTTCAAGTTTTTTTGGAACTTGATATAGAAAGAATGATCTCTCCATAGACTGAGGCTACCCGCTGCCCTTCTTAGCGGCTGGGTACACGGACTTTATGTCCACTTTTTTTACGTCCACAGTTCTAAAACCCCCACTCTTGTTAAGTCCATTATTTAAACGTCCACTAAGTTAAGTCCACAAATATAAAGTCCACTAAAATCAAATTCAAGCGTCATATTTTAGTCCGTGTGTAAAATTATATTAACAATATCGAAATGAGAAAATTAAGAGAGAATGAGGTGTTGTTATCGTAACTCATATTTTAAATGAAATCTTAATTTCTTCTTTTGATTCATCTTTTTAAATTTTCTTAGGTAAATACTTGGTTTCATTTCTATCCTTGAAATTTCCGATATAAAATATGCCTTAAATGCACATTCTTTTTTTTTAATGAAATTGATTACTTCATTTTAAAAACATTTACATTTTTAAAACGTGGTAAATATTTGTAAAACCTTTTCCAAGCAATGGCATCGATATGAATCTCAATGAGCCGTAGTTGTGATGAAAGAAACTACACAATAATTAATAAAAGAGGAAAAAACTAAGAAGCACGCAATTTTTTGTTTTTAACTTATTTGTACATCGACCCTCTTGAGTCAAATACGTCAAATTTTGAGCGTTTAGTTGCGCTTACACCACGCTGCAGCATAGTAAAAGCCCAAAACCTAAAAGAATAAATTTGAATGCTTTGGAAATCATTAAATTTGACACGGAACCACTATTATACTTACAAAAAACACATTATATTTTCCAGTAGTACATATTTCTTTTTCATCAGTTTCAAAGGGAATAATCAATGCAGAGATTGCAAACATTTCAAAATCATGAGTTGAAAAACGCTGACTCCGCGAATTTAAATATCAGAGCCTAACACAGAGCGGAGCGGCGTGTTAGCAGCGCAGAACGCGCACTGGCTCCTACAGACCTAACGAGATACTTCACGCATTGCGCAACGCGTGAAGTATCCCGTTAGGTTTGTAGGCGCTTATGCGCGTGTCACGCTGGTTGCCTGCCGCGCCGCAACGCTTTAAGCAACTATTTCGCGCCAGAGGCGTTGCACACAAAATTGCAAAATTGAAGGCGCACGAAATAACTAGTTAAAGAGGACTTTCAATTTTGACTGCATCTGTTACTGAGAAATGTTTAATTTGGCATTGGAGCGTTTCCTAGGCTCCCGCTTTGGTTTTCATCTTATCATATCCGCACAGTGTACACATGAACATATGTGTTTATCTACTCTTAGAGTCCGTTCTCTTTCATGACTTGATTCATGAATGAAATGTTTTTAAGAATGAAGGAACTCTTCACCTCTAAAATCTAAATTTTCGTATATACTCCCATTTTCAAAATTCTCTGTAAAGACGTTAATAGCCTGTGACGTTGAACGTCTTAAAATATACTAACTAACTAACTAGTAGTAGTATGCATTTATTTTTGAGGTGGTTCCTGTCATTTAAACGAGAAGAAAAAAATGTGGACATAACATGTCCACAATTTGGACAATTTTGGACATATTCATGGTTGGACTTTGGTTGATTTTAGCATAGAAATTCAATGCATGAATCCAGATGGCGGATCTTTTGTCGCAGCTTGAAAGGGCGTAAACTTATTTGATGTGGACTCTAGTTCTAAATGCGACCAAGATAGTTTCTTCGGTGCTATGAAGATTGAAAGGCTTTGAAGAAATTCATTAAACTGAATGTTTTGGGAGGACTAGGGCTGTATTAGAACTTTCTCTATAATGGGATATACATACATTTGAGAAAATGAAAAATTAGCTTCTTTGGATCTAAAAACACCCTCAAAGTTCGAAAACGATCAAAGTGAAATGAGACATTCCAATCATCTCATGTAGAATTTTCTAAGAAATAATCATATTGCGAGCTATTTACTTCGTCCATATTTTTCACCAATGTATGACGTGAGATTGCATTTCAATCCGAAACTTTTGTAGGTATCCTAAACATGCTGATTAGCATTTTGAGTAGCTTTACCTGGAGAATTTATTTTTTTAACTGCTAACTTTAAGCCACCATACCTAACTCTGAATATGTATGTTTGACATTTTTTGGCCGTTTTTAGTCTTAAAATGCTTGTTAAACACTCAGTTATGCTTTCTCATTAAACATTCAAGATTGAATTCCTTTGCATCGTCTTTCGTACTCACCTGGCTGATTCTTATTGATAATTTTGAATCGCGCACTAACCTCAAGTTCAATGAATCATTTTTTTTTTTCCCCCCCCCTTTTTTTCTGTAGTTTAATGCCTTAGTGACTAAGCACCTGCAGCCAATTTTAGACTAGTGTGTTTCATGAATCATTTGACTGAGTAATTATTTTGAATCGCATACCAGAGTTTACGTAGGTACTGCATTGAAAACAATCATCGAAGTAAATACGATACAAACAATGTGAACTAGTGGGTGAGCGCCAAAATAAATTATATATTTTTGGTAATTCAAAAAAGAATTGACCTGTACTTGGTTCACAAGTTTCTTGTGAATTGGTGATCTTATGCAAGTTGAGACCTTAGTTACCGACAGTTATAGAAGGAGAATTTTTTGGTATCTTTCTATCCCAAATTCTAATGAATTTTCAAGGGCGTCTCCGTTGATGATAATTGGACGACCTATACATCAGAAAGGTAGTTTGGAATAAAAATAAAACAATGGCAATTTTCAGTTAGATAATAACATTTAATGTTTGTTCCTTTCAAGACATGAGTAATGAAGTGTCAGTGCTGTCGATTAGTGACAGTGAAAAAGACACAGATTTTAAGAGCAAAAAAAGGCGCCAAGACAAGTGCACGCGCGAAAGCTAACCCGCTAATGATGTTACTGCGTGCCTCAAATTCGAACTTAGTAATGCTTTCTAGCAGCAAGCACTGATAACAACCCTTCAACGAGATTGTCACAGCCACCATTCCCTCTGCACGATCCACATGCACCGTGAACGTAACCTGCTCTTCCAGAACCGTATGGACCTCTGCTACAACTTCCGCAGGAACCTCGAGGTGGTCCGGAGCTTCCGCTAGGGCAGCAGTTTCCGCTCGATCCACAGCCGCATGATCCACAGCGTCCACCACATCCAGATCCGCCACATGATCCACAGCGTCCACCACATCCAGATCCGCCACATGATCCACAGCGTCCACCACATCCAGAACCTCCACATGATCCACAGCGTCCACCACATCCAGAACCTCCACATGATCCACAGCTTCCACCACATCCAGAACCTCCACATGATCCGCACCCTCCACAAGATCCACAGGGTCCACTTAATCCGTAGCAACTGCATGATCCGCCGCCTACACACGAGGTATAACCGCTTCTGCCGCAGCTTCCACACGATCCGTAACCATCTCCTCCGTTACCTCCACACGACCCGCAACCGCTTCTTGCAAAGCCTCCGCATGACCCACTATTTCCACAGCTCCCTTTCCCACTTCCTCCACATGACCCGGACGCTCCACCTCCACAGCTGCAACCCGATCCACTTCCATTGGTTCCATCGTTGCTTCCACTTGATGTGTTGTCTGTTGACGTTCCGGAATCCTTAACGTACGATTTGCAGCAGCAACATGAACTGTAACCTTTGCTACTCCCACACGATTTACCGCAGTCGCACAAGCCGTAACTGTTAAATCCACCGGAGTTACAGCAGCCACACGATCCGTAGCCGTTACCACTCCCACACGATTTACAACAGCCGCATGATCCGTAGCCATTGTTACAGCCACCAGATTTTGAGCAGCCACACGACCCGTAACCATTGTTACAGCCACCAGATTTCGAGCAGCCACACGCCCTGTAATTGTTGTTGCAGCAACCAGATTTGCCACCTCCACAGGATCCTCCTTTGTAGCATGCGCCGAATCTGTAGCCAACTCCTCCGCAAACGTCACAACATCCACAGCATCTTTCGTAGTCTCCACTGGATGCCGTGCGGAAACCGTATTTTCCACCGTATCCGCACGATCTGCAAGAATTCGAGTTGCTATTATTCTTATTATTATCACTGTTACCATTATTATCATTATTTTTCTTATCGTTGTTGTTATTCTCGCTTCCATCGTTGTTCGAATTTTCATGTTGGCTGTCCCCGTCGTTTTTATTGTCTTTATCATCGTCATCCTTGTCGTCTTTTCCGCAGCTCTTGCACCCGTAACAAGGGTCGTAGAATCCACTGCAGAAGCAGCCGCCCCTACAGATGCAGGCATCGTTGCACGGCAATCCTTGCACACATAGGTTGTAGACGGCGAAAACACTGCCTGCTTGAAGCTGTTCTTTTTTCTCGTCAGGCGTCAAATTTCGCTGGGAAGTCGTGACGTACAGTATGTCGTCTCGGCCGCAGCCACCGAATATGCACGATGTAACGTCTCTGGCGGGTATTTTGATCCTCCGCATTACCTTAGATTGATCTGGGTCTACTTGAATTACCTGAAATATTGACCCAAAAAAAAGAGAAAAGTGAAAAGTCTCACAAATTGGTTTTTCGTTCACTGCATACTTTTTAAACGTTATTGGTATTGGTTGTGTAATTTCATTCTCATGCACGCGTATTATCTATATTGATCGAATATTTTTTTGCATTTGGATGTTTTTTTGCCGAATGGAACCATAGGCAGGTGGGAAAGAAGGGGCGTGCCCGTTAGTCGAGGGCCATAAGAATGAATGGGAATTATAAAGCGCCATTGACGTCAGCGGCGACGAAGCGGCCGCTACACCGCGTCCGTGTCCGCATTAACTCATGAGCCCTGTCCGCAATGCTCTTGACACATGCCCATGGCTCATGAGTGCCGCATTTAGTTGGCACTTAGTTCCGTTTGACAGAATGTGAAATTCCGCTTTTCCATTTTTTCAAAGGGAATCATGCCCGCTTTAACATTGTTCCTTATGCAGCTTTCTAAAGCACACCCCATCATTCCCACTCGTTTATAGTTATGTTCGGCAGAAATATATACGTTTCATTCTCATGCTCGGTAATATCTGCATTGATCGAATATTCATTGCATTTATACATTCGTATTTTTCCTAATATTTTAGGATTATTTTTTTAGAAATGAACACATTAAATCGAAAGGGACTAAATCCATTCTGATATGAGCCATGATATCTTTAGGTATGCATGTATGACAGGGCTCATGTTATGATAGATATAGTTAATTTTGCTTTAAATGCGACCAGATGTCTCGTGAGAACATTATTACTCTTATTATTGTCATGGGAACGGAGTTCCCCATGATATTACAATCGTTCCGTTGCTTTCGCAATGGGATTCCCTATACCTCTGCGACCTTGAGCGTTTCGCCCAGTCTCCGATTTTTGGTTGATTTTCCGATGTATCAAAAACCGTTGTATTTTTTAGCCAATCATGTCTCCACGTCAAGTTGTGTTGATTTCTAAAATTCGCTTTCAGCGAGTTTTTTTCCATCTTGAGATGTCGTGTCTGACTGGTAAATCTGCGCAGAACCACGAAGTTCCGTTTTTAGGCAAATTCTTTTTTTTGGGAGGTTTTCATTGGCTATTTTTCGCCATCAGTTTTCTGTTCGTTGGTGCAAAAGATCGCCTACCTCGTTGCTCTTGAGAAGCCGCCATTATCCCACCTCAAATTTTAAACATAGATGTAAAGAAATAATAACCATCGTACAAGGTGGAAAATTGCTCTGGAGGACCCGTTACGGATATATGAGCCAAAATCAGAACTCGATTGATGGATTTAATCCATGAATACAGAAATATTGCCTCAGCTTACTGCCGCGATCGCAAATGCATACTGAGGTGAACCTTGTGACACATGACCGCATAGGTAAACAATGTCTCACAGAGTAATGCGCTTGATCCATTTGTCTCTTATCACGCCAGTGGCCGAACCGTTGAAATCTCAAGGACGTCTTTTGTGAAGCCCCGCTCAGCGTCCGAGATCACTTAACTGTTCTCTTTTTCACATCCCAATTCCGAGCTATGAAATAGCTCAGTCAGCTACGCCACTGTTCTGATACTGGGAGAGTGTCACTTTTTGTGGGAGCGGGGGTTCGAATCTCGTAGAGGACAGCTAATTTTTACTGGTTGTATTGAATGTTTTAGACCAATAATCTAACAATAATTAATACTTGGCAACTTAGGAAGCACATAGGTCCCTTATGATGCGTATTTGGGCATGTGTAGAGTAAAAATATCATACGTAGGGTGTCCCAAAAGTACCGGGACTGGTTCTGTAACTTCAAAAGTAAGATAGATGCAGACATGATTTTGGTCTCATTTTAAAGATCAACTCAATACCTATCGATTAAAACCAAGATCAGCTCAATCGAATAAAAATTGACCGAGTTATGACAATTTGAAATTAGTGAGGAAAGTTTACCCCTACGGTTTTTAGGAAGATTTTTCGCTTACCAGGATTCAAAAAGTTAATATTCGTATCCACTTTCCTCCGAATCTTCCATAACTTCCTTTTGCTTTTCAAAGTACCGTCCATCAAACCGGATGCACTTTTTCATGCGCTCTTGCCACTTATCCAACATTGTTTTCCTGAATTCTTCCTCTGGGATGGAGTTGAAAAAGTTTTGAATTGCATTCTGGATTTCCGTCTTCGATACGAATCTTCGTCCGCGAAGCTCCTTTTTAAGCGTAGGAAACATCCAAAAATCACTTGGAGCCAAGTCAGGGCTATAAGGGGGATGAGGGATTGTTTCAACTCCATTTTTACTCATAAATTCACGTGTTAAGCTCGATGGGTGAGGCCGCGCATTGTCTTGATGGAGTATCCACGAAGCTTTCAAGTCCGACCGTTTCCGGGAAATGTGCATTCTCAACTCCTTTAGTACTTTGCAATAATACGCACTGTCAAATGTTGTGTTTGATGGTACAAAATGTTGATAAATGACACCTCGAAAATAAAAAAACACAATAAGCATCACTTTATCGGCCGACTTTTCGATTTACGGCGATGAAGAATCTTCCTTAAAAACCGTAGGCGTAAACTTTCCTCGCTGATTTCAAATTGCCATAACTCGGTCAATTTTTATCCGATTGAGCTGATCTTGGTTTTAATCGATAGGTATTGAGTTGATCTTTAAAATGAAATCAAGATCATGTCTGTATCTATCTTACTTTCGAAGTTACAGAACAAGTCCCGGTGCTTTTGGGACACCTTATGTACACTTTACGCCGAAAAAGCGAACCTGAAACTTAAATGCGTTAACTTCCGAAAACCATATATAATCCAACGAAAATAAATAATTGGTACATAACAGCTTTCTTGTATGCAAAGAAAATAATTAAAAATGTTAAAAAAGAGATGTCAACACAAAATTACATAGCCCCTTCAATTCAGAAGATACTACAAACGAACTGTACCTTAACATTTTCATATCCCAGAAGCTAACGTTCCCATGACGAATATTGCTATCGCTAGCGATTGCAAAATCCAACTTGTTTTTATTTTATTTGGAAATAAAAACAAGCAAGTGTTTTGAAAGTATTCGAAACGCTTAGAAATTCACTTACGTGCCAACCTCCCAGACTAGCTACCCATAGTTTCCCGCAACAGTCGATTGTCATTCCATCAGGCGCTCCATCTTCATTTTCTTTATTATAATCGAACACCGTCGTCTTATTGCCTGAAAAACATCGAATTTATGACATCGGAAGCTTGTTTGATTGTGTAAAACCGGACACAACGCGAAAAAAGAGGGCATACTTAATCTTCCCTGCTTCTTAAGCATTCAAAGGAAGATGGCAGCATGACAGCTTTTTATACTTGAAGCTTGAGCTTGAAACTTGTCCATTAGTTCTGAGTCAATCGCGATTTTTTTTTTTTAATTTTTTTTTAATTTTTTTTTTTATTAATCAATTTAAGGGGTGCTTGGCAAGTTTTAAAAATGGACGTATTAATGCTAAAAGGAACTATGTTGCACGCTAAACCTATGCACATAGTTCCTTTTCGTATAAATCGTCGCTTGGCTGACATAAGGGCGTAACTACACTCTGCAATGACTCCTGTCTTCCATACCATTCAACAGGGCCGGATTTACCTACTTGCCGCCCCCTTCTCATTCGTTTTGAAACATCAATAAAAACCATCAAGTGAACGTGCCGGAGGGGGAGGGGTGCATAAAACGCGTTTACCTACTCGCATTGGATACATTTTTTGCGAAAGTCCTGTCAACACAACTAGCAAAGTTTCACGAAACTTTGCGCGAAAGTTAAGTTCCGTAAACATATCTCTGTGTAGACAAGGTCCTCCATTTATAAGAAGTGAACCAAAAAATTATGAAAGAACAAACATAGACGTGGTTTAATAATTTTAACTTCCACCGCTGCGCGCCGGGCTGATTGCACTGTGTTTGGCGTAATGCGTCAAGTATTCCCGCAGTCTTGTAGGCGCTATGCGTTTCACGCCAACCGCTGCTGACCGCACTGTGTTTGACGCAGTGGATGAAGTATTCATTCAGTCTTGTAGGTGCTAATATGTGTTACATGTCGACCGCCGTGCCAAGGGCTTCTCCTTTTCATCTCAAGTCCTCGTCATCAGTCCTCTCTATGCTGAGCTCCAGGCCAAATTGCATGTTTAGTTCCTCTCTTAACTCGGCTAATTAAAGATGATGCCTCTTGTATTACCGAAAAACGACAAAATTAGAAATGATCATACTCTCAGGAAAGAGAGATTTTGTCCCCTTTTCTCATTGATAATTATTTTTTCTGAATCCGATTTTGTTGATACCTACATTTAAAAAAATTGCAAAATTTGCCGCCATGTGCCGTGGCCCATGTGGCCACCCCCTTAATCCGGCCCTGCCATTCAATGGTTTCCCGGGCTCATCTCAATGTGTAGTTACGCCCTTATGCCACACCGGAATCACACGCTGAATGTGGGAGCTGAATGTGGCTTGAATGTGGAAAGCGTCCAGCCCACCTACAAACTAGGGGCCTCAAAGAGGCTCATCGATGGAACTGTTGACTGTTGCCTTTCAAAGATCGTCGGGCCGACGATCTTTGAGGGTAACCGGTGTGTTCGGGATACATCACAGATCAGATCTTGAAATTTTCAAGGCATTCCGTGCAGAAATGGCTGAGAAATATAAGAATTAGTGCCAGTTTGAGAGCCCCAGTTTGTACGTGGGCTAGACGCTTAAGTCATGCGCAAAATTCAGCAACGATTCTCAGCAACCATCGGACCAATTTTGAATTTGTCTGAACTATTCGAGTAGATTTGATACACATCTGGATGAAAATAACTCGAATTTGCCAAATTTCAGCCGTTGGGCGATGACTGTTGACTTCCACATTCAGCTGCTAAATTCAGCGTCCGATTGCGGCATCAGCCAAGCGACGAAATACGTCCAAATGTCAAACTGCACCGCGTCGAGTCATGGAGAAAATTACTGCGAGAGTGGCTCTGAATAGGAGGATGAAATACCTAAGTTTTCCTGCGTTCCACCCCTTTCGACTTTGGGGTGAGACGAGAAAAAGAGCTTAAGTGCGCACAGAAAAGGTTGAATTTCACCCTTTTTCTTCCTCTGGCGCAAACCATTTTCTCCGTAAATTAACATATTTTGAATACGATCAAGTGAACGCATCTCGTGGTTCTATGGGTGCTAGGACTACTCTGCCGTGCTAAGGAAGAACGCCGTATGAACATTCGAGAGTTGCCAACTAATCTTTGATAAAGCATGTATTTCTGACAACAATCATCCATATTTGGACCGCGTTAAACAGAAAGGAACCAAGCCACGTCAGCTATTGCCAAATTTAACAGGGAAATTACATTTTTTACGAGAGAACGTCTATGCAGATTCCTTTGAAAATTTTAAGGAATTCGCTCTGTATTATGGAGAAAATTCACTGAAATTAGCACACAAATCCGCACAACCGTTTTCATGTAAAAAATTACATTACAAAAATTAAATTGAAATCAAAAGTTGAGCTAATAGCCGATTTAACAAATATATGCAATGATTGCAACGCAGGCCATGCTTTAATAAGAAAACAACGTGCAAGAGGATGTTAATATATTTACATAACAGTTTTACCTTAACATGGTGGACAAACAAACGTTTTGACCAAATCGTTTTAACGTCTGTAGTGCCGCAATCACACGCTGAATTTAGCAGCTGAATGTGGAAGTCAACAGTTATCGCCCAACGGCTGAAATTTAGCAAATTCGAGTTATTTTCATCCAGATGTGTATCGAATCTACACGTATAGTTCAGACAAATCCAACATTAGTCCGATGGTTGCTGAGAATCGTTGCTGAATTTTGTGCGTGAGGCATCGGGCCGATGACTTCCTCATTCAAGGCACATTCAGCTCCCACATTCAGCTTGTGATTGCGGCATAAAATTAGCTGATAGCTCAACTTTTGTTTTCACATTATGAGTACCTAGCCGGAAACCGAAAAATCTTGTAAAGAATAACCGCACTCACTTGCTTCGCCAGATTTGAGATCGTAGTCGAAACAGTAGATTTTTTTCCTTTTCGTCTCGCACATGTACATTTTGGTGTAGTTGCAATTCCATGCGATTCCGTTGAAGATGTCGCCTTTGTCGTCTCTCCCGAGAGCGTCCTGCAACCCGCACTTCTTCTTCGAGTAGCGGTACAAAGTGGCGTATCCACTCTCCGTTGTTTCTCCGTCGGGTCCTAAAGGCCCTTTTGTATCTGCAACAGTTCAGTCATCATCACATCAGAAACTCCCAAATCAGTAGTAATAATAATTGAATCAGTGAGTTCGAAAACACACCAACTCGGGTTCTTTTCGATTTTCACTTTTTTACGGTTTAGTAAAACTTATGGATAGAAGCATCTGCACGCAAAAGGAAATTTCGAAATTGCAATCGGAAGTGCTCGAAACAGCGACGGGAAAAGGGAAGAATCGAAGTATTTCATTGAAAATACCAATTTTTGGCCATTTCAAGGGAAACGGGTGACCATCCGATCTTGCGGTTTTCTATTTCGGTTTATTATACCTTGTATCAACGAGTTTTATATAAATATTCAAGCGTTATGCAGGTCGAAAAATATACATTTTTCAAGGCAGACTATGAAAAATCAGTATCTGAAAGTCGGTGAGAACAAAACACACCAACTCGGAAATTTTTAAACGCTTAATTTTATGTCATCAAACATGGTGTATCGATTTTAACTTGGTGCTTTGCAAAGTCTCTAAGTACTTGTCCTTTGACACCAAAAAGGTTTTTCTTAAGTTACGAGTAACTTCTTCGCCCGCTGCGCAGTTTAAGGTGTTCTCTGAACAATTTTTTTTTCCGAATTGGTATGTTTTTGAACTCACTGATTCAATTGAATCAGTCAGAACGAAAACACACCAACTCGAAAAAGTGAAAATAATCAAGACACACACACAACTGCACAGTAGGTAAAGAAGTTAGTCTCAGAAAAAGATTTTTGGTGCCAAAAGATGAGTGCTTAAGAACACTTTAAAGGTTCAAGTTAAAACGTATGCGCTAACTTCAATGACCTTTATGAAAATTGACTGTCTCGAATGAAAATTGAAAATTTTCAAGTTAACGAGTTGGTGTGTCTTCGTTCTCACTGATTCAATTTACTAACGTCTGATTTTAGCGAGGGGCGGTTGAATCTTTGTTTCTATCGCCTTACACAAGATATCTATATTGATCATATCGGTATCTAATGTTGGTTTTTTATTCAGGCGATTATCACATTTTCTACGTCGTTATAATTTCCATTCAATGTAATTATTTGCTTGTCGTTGAGGGTTATTCCGACTCGTTTAAATTTTTCTGTATTTTATCGTAAATCTAGTTAAAGATTTTACGGATCCAATTTAAACGAATTTGCGGTTTGCTAATCAACATTTTTCAAGAGGATATTTGCGATAGATTTTAAACTTATATAAGTCGGTTTATGACGTCACCCACCATGTCAGTGTCACCTTTTGTCTCTTTCACCTTCCCTTCATCAATCAGTGGGACTGTGGGACTCACATACTAATTACTCAACGTTAAACTCGGAGAGAGAGGTGGAAGAAACCAAGGATATCACAACCGCGGTGGATAACGTCATAAACTGAATTTTTCAAAGCGCGATATCGTGGTTAAGGTGATTCGTCTAGCTCAAGTGACGTGGCCAAACTAGCATGCGATAATATCGTATCGATTACGTCTAAAATCTCGGCAGATTTCGAATTTTCAGCCAAAAAAAGGACGGTATCCCCTGCGCATGAGTCTGAAAAATCATTTTAAACAAAAATTGGCAAAATTGAGAGAAAGGAAAGTAGAATAGTGTCAGGAAAAAACTTCGCATTTGATACTGTTATCGATTTCTGTATCGATTGCGAGGTTTTTTCCTGACACTATTGTTCTCTAATTTCTCTTAATTTGTCATTTCCTTGGTTTAAAATGATACTTTAGACTTATGCGCGGGAGATATCATTCTTTTTTCGGCTGAAAATTCGAAATCTGCCGAGATTTTTGACCTATAATCAATGCGACATATCGCATGCCAGTTCGACCACGTCACTTGAGCTTGTCGAATCACCTTAACATTCAACATATATAGTTGCTGTTTCGACATATCGGAATATTTCTGAATATTTTTAGCTAATCTACAAGAATCATCAAAACACGATTCTATGACCAAAGTATCTGACCCATTTTGAGGGAACAAAATCTTACTCATGAAGGGGCGCCCGAAGAGGTCGGCCTTTCCGTCGTTGAATACGATACCACGTTTTTCTTTGTCATGTCGACTTATAATGGTGATCTCCGGACAAGTGTCGCAGCATCCGTCCCACTTCATCTTCGCCATTTTCGGCCCGTAGCCAATGATATACTCGTTGCATGAGTCCAGAAGCGGGATAACTGAGCCCAGTGGTTCATCTGCATGTATAAATCAATGTTAAAGTGTTTTATCTCTGACAGGTTATGCCCATAGCAGATAACGAAGGGAGCGAGAAAGGAAAAAATAGCTCCGTTTACGAGCCCTGGTAAAAATTGGCGATAAGAGCTGCGTTTCAAAATACCATCGGAATTCTTATAGCCGGCTGAAGGAGGCTACAGAAAATCATACAGCTGGCTGTAGAATGCGGAGAAAATCATACGGCCGGGCTATACGAAGCGATAAAAAATTATGCAACCTGGCTATAGTTCCTATCGCCGGGCTTTACACTTTATCGCCTGGCTGCTGCTCTTTCGCCATCGATTATAAAAGGCTTTAAGAAATTGTGTAAAAATTCGTGTGCTTTGGAAATCATTAAGTTTGATACGGAACCACCTTAATACTTACAAAACACATGTTATATTTTCCTTTAATACATATTTTTTTTCATCAATTAAAACGAGAATAATCCATACAGGATGTGCAAACATTTCAAAATCATGAGTTGAATAACGCTGACTCCGCCAGATTCAATATATTAGAGCCTAACACAAAGCGGAGCGGCGACGCACTGGCGCCTACAAACCTAACGAGGATACTTCACGCATTACGCAACGCGTGAAGTATCCCTGTTAGGTTTGTAAGCGCCAATGCGCGTTCGCGCTGGCTGCCCGCCTGCCACGGCGCTTGAAGCAACTATTTCACACCAGAGGTATTGCACAGTATCATACGAAACTGAAGGCGCTCCAATATATTAGGAATGGCAGGCATCCATCAAAAGTGCGGAGCTTTCCTCGCAAAATAAATCAAGATACTACGGCACAAAAAGAGAGCAGTGGTCCAAAAACTCACTGAGTCCTAGCATCCGTAATTAGTAACGTTTAGCAGACACTTTATCGCCTGGCTGTGAGTTGCTTAATCGCCATCGGCTATAAAAGGCTATAAGAAATTGTGTAGCCGGCTATCGAAGCTATTGGAAATCTTACAGCCGGCCGTAGGTCTATGGTATTTTGGACCACAGATTCTACTGCCAATTTTTACCGGGGAGTTATGATTGTAAGTTAAATTGAATCAGGGAGTACGAAAACACACCAACCTGAAAAAACGATCAAGACACACACAAAACTGCACAGTGGGTGTAAAAGTTGGCCTAAGAAAAATATTTTTCGTGCCGAAAGACAAACACTGGAAAAAAAAAACTCATCGGATCTAGAGTCCAAACTCCTGAAAACATTGACAAGAAAAAATACTCTTGATTCAATCGGATTTTTGCTTGAACCAAAACGAAATCCGCTTAAATTAAGAGGCTTTGCTCTTGATTTAAGCTTAAATCTGATTGAATCAAGAGTATTATTTCTTGTCGATGTTTTTAAGAGTCTCGACTCTAGATCCAATGTGTCTTTTTTTGTTTTTTTTCCAGTGAGCACTTCAGGACATTTAAAAGCTGGAACAGATGCGCTAACATCAATGACCTATATGAAAATTGACCGCCACTCATGAAAATTGAGCATCTTCGAGTTACGGAGTTGGTGTGTTTTCGTTCTCACTGATTTAATTCAAAGAATGAGAATATATTGAGTTAAATGAAAAACTCAACTAAAATAAAATTACTTAATGGGTGAGTGTGTAGCCAAAGCGCAAAAACATTTGCAAGAATTAACAAGAATTTAAAGAAGAAGGCATAATTTGTAACGGTCTTTTGGTACCACCATGCCTCAGTAATTTTCAAGTTTAGGATAGGTACCGAAAAAAGGATTACCTAAATCACAGGAGCAGGATGTGCAGCCGGTGCTCGGGTCGTAGATGCAGACTTTCCCGAGGTACGCATCGACAAATATAAGGATATCATTCTGTTTATCGTAGTGTGGTTCCTCCGCGTGGTTGAAAGGACAAGTGATACATCGCACTTTATAATCACAATCGCAATCACAATCGTTATTTGTGGAATTATTGTTAGAGTTGTCTTGAGATGTGTAGCTGTCCTGAGGGGTGGTATCCTCTACAGCTGTTTCTTCAGCCCCGTGCACTACTTGCAGTGAGAGTAGCAGTATCAACCATATCCATTGACTGAAAATCCAAGAGATAATTCTCAACGTGCACATGTACAGTGAAAAGGAATCGTCGCTCTTAAGGAGATTCGATGGACGCCATATTTTATGTAAGAACGGCATGCGACATATCGCATCAATTGGTTCCATTTTTTCAGCTACTCGTCATTTTTCTCCAATTTTGAGATCGCAATTCGGTTGTCAGGAGACTAAAGCACTCACTTACCAATTTTAACAAACAAATTTTTCAACGTAATAAAGGCGTGGTTTTTTTAGAGAGAAAATATCGCATTCGAGAGCAGTTTCGATATCAGTATCGAATGCGATGTTTTCTCTCTGAAAAAAACACGCCTTTATTACGTTGAATTTCTTTGTTAAAATTGATAAGTGAGTGCTTTAGTCTCCTGACAACAGAATTGCGATCTCAAAATTGGAGAAAAATGACGAGTCGCTGAAAAAATGGAACCAGTTGATGCGATATATCTCATGCCGTTCTGATACAAAAAATGGCGTCCATCGAATCACCTTTCTAGGTCTTACAGAAAGAGGGCATGAATTCGAATGACATGATTCGATTGACTCCAATTCGATCGACAAATGATTACAAATCTTTGTCTATTCGATCGACTAATCCATGAATCGATCAAATTTTTTCGATCCAATGGATCGTATTCGAATTCGATACATCAAACTGGTGAGATTGTATCGATATCGATTGGTTCAGCATGTGAAAATAGCCTCCAAACTCCAAAGTCAAATGAGTAATCTGAGGGAACGAGTTTCTTGTGGTGGATTTTTTATTCTAATGAGTATAAAATGACAATGAAAAGTGAAATTGTTAGGAATTTTCTCATTTTCAGCTTCTCTTACCTGATAATCCTAAAATTTTTGTTTGGGTTTATTGTCTATTCTTTTGAACCAAACGATACATCGAATCAATATCGAACTCGATCTATTGGTGTCGATCGAATCACGTCGCTCGGTTCACGTTTTTACTTTTCGATCGATTCGTGTCGAATGAATCGACATCAGTTTTGCAATCCTTTTCGATCGAATCGCGGTGCAGATCAATTCACGATTTTATCGATCGATCAATTCATGTCGATCAAATCTATATCCTCGTCGAACTTTTCTAGTCGTGTTCACAATTTTACGTCAGAGTTAAAAATGATTTCTATCTCGTTAACAATGCAGCTGCAGCATTGTTGTCGAGACTGGGTTATTGCATGGGAAACGTCGTAACTGCGACTCGAAAAGTACGAATTACATCAATGATGAGTCATAATCATAATTAAATAGAGAATAATTCCCTTTTTTCTTTCTTTTTTTAAAAAAAATACTTTGAAACATCGCAATAAATGCGAATGTTTGAGAAACTAAATTCGTAGTTTTATATTTGTAGTCCTTACCGTCGAGCTCTTTTTGTCGAAGAGGAGATCCACATGATTAACCTGAACCTGTAGAACAAAAAAATTTGTAAAATATCGTAAGAAATTGTTTAAAACTTCGGAAGGATACTTCATAGGTTTGCAATCAATGAGGCAATAACCCAAGAAAAGTCTTCATTTCCCACCGATCACCTCATTTTCCCCTCCCTCTTAATTCTCTTACTCTCCTTAGCCTCCTCTTTTTTTATAAAATCACGAGCTTTTCTGTTTTCATGATATTCAACTCATGAGTGAAGAATTAGAAAAATGTTTTAAGGAATGATTACGTAGACTAAAAGTTCATAAAAAATAACCTTGGTAAATAGTGCTTAATTTATTGATAATTGTTCAGACTCCAAGCTTTCGCAAAAGTTTGTAAAATTAATCGAAACTTATGAGATTGTTGTAACGCTATTTGATTGGCGCATTGAAAAATTGAAACGTAAACACTGGAAGGTGTACTCTCCCATGTCCTTCGAAAGTTTTGGTCACGATATAAATTGCCTTCTAATCGTGAGGTATGCAACATGCAACATGCAACGTGTACTGACAAAGTTGGTTTCATTTTATGATTTTGTCTCTGTAAGAATGAGCGAGCATCCTGTGACAACAAGCATCTCTCATACAGATATCATGACCCTGCATGATTATCTTTGTTTCCCCATTAGTGCTAATGCTAAACCCATACGAGAATTGAGGGGCTTGGCTTGGAGGACAAGACGTATAAATACCGTTTTTGAACAAATTGAGATATTCATGAACTGAACTAAGATTAGCTTGAAAGTATACCTACATTTTGTAAGACATTCACTACTGAAATCCAACTTTAAAGCATCAAAAATTGAATTTAAACTTCCTTAGTATGTAATTTTGAAACTTTAAACACGTATTTCTTGAAATAGCAAAAACTGCCCTTATGCGCCTTAGCCTCCAAGCCCCTCAATTAATTACTTGAGAAAAATAACTTACTTTCCGTTCCCTCTATTACTCCACTCTGTTTGTAAATGCAAAACGCCGTCAGTCGGAATCACTCAACTTCACCTTAACATGAAAACAGCGAGCTTTTCCAAAACTTACACTATATACTGCGAAATTTTCTCGGTAGTGAAATGGATTACAATTTATCGCCATTTGGTCATTTTGTTGTTTCTCATCACGTGTAAATTCTCAGACACCGTCCAACCGCTGATAATGGAACTTAGTAGTCTCAAGTTAACCGGGGAATGCTGCAGGTGAAGCGACATAAATGTATCGACGGTGAAACTACCAAACCACGTATCTCGTTTGCGGTGTTTAAAAATCTACGCTCACATTTTATTTTTTGGAAGTAGACCAAATCAATAGCATTCCTTGAAATTTTCACAGAATTTTCTCCGCGCGAAGAGGAAAAATCACAGAAATTTTCAATACTGGACGTTAAATAGTTTTTCATTTAAAAAATAAAGTATGACAGGAAGTCTGCGACGTCGCAAACCGAGATACGTGGTTTGGTAGTTTCACCGTCGGTATGTCTTTGTTCGCACAGTGTCTACGCTTTCCTCGATTCTAAGCGTTGAACTCAACCAAATGGACGTATTTCTGCCAAACGGAACTATGTGCATTAAGATATGAGCCCTGAAACCCATAAAAAATATATGCACAATAGAGCTCACGTCCATAATGCACATACTTCTGTTGGGCAGAAATACGTCCAGATATTTATCGTGGGCCTGCGATGTCAGCCCATGACCTAAAATTATCCCCGAAGAAGGTAGCTTTCCTCTACGTTTACAAATGTGTCTGCTAATGAAGCCTTTCACCGACTGTAATAATGTTAATATTAGAAATTCTTTTAACTCACTCTCAAATTTTTTGCGTCAATAATTTTCCTCAAGTTTTCTGTCAGTTTTATATAGAAAGTATAATCTTTCCTGATCCTTAGACTGCAGTTATATTGCCGTGCTAAGGAAGAACGCCGTATGAACATTCGAGAGTAGCCAAATTTCCTTCGATAAAATGTTTATTTTTTTGGAAAGTTATGAATATTTTTCCTTTAAATTTTCAGAATCTTTGGATAAAATTGCGAACTAAATTATCTGAATAATTGGGAGGAAAATATTCATAAATTGACCTGGAAATTCACGTTTTATCCAAGGAAATTTGGCAACGCCTGATGGTTCATACGGCGTTCTTCCTTAGCACGGCAGTATACCCTTCATAGTGGCTGAGCACTTTTCCGCCTATAATCTTTTTCCAAAAATGCCCTCGTCAGAACTACGGTGCCTGATTTTTTATGTAAATCACCAGCGCTGCTTTGTTACTTTGTCGACTAATCTGACAGTAAAAAAAAACAAGCAGTGAACTCCAACACAATGTGTTGATAAGGCGCGTCATTAACTCGCACATATCAACCCCTTTAGTTTTCATTTACAGAGATTTCAAAATAGGCAAGTAGCACAACAAGAGAATTCATACGATCCAACACTGAGAGGTCAACGATGCACCTTGACGAGATCGTGTATTGTGAATGTAAAAAGCCATTCGAACGAGTTTAAGTTTTTTGATCTGCCCCAAGCAAAACCTCATCAGATTCTTAAAGAAAAGTGCTACGTAATAATTTAAGCGAAGAAAGAAAAAATTTTGTCGAACTCCTGAAAGATAAAGTCGATTTAAAGGTATTTTGGGGCTAAAATACCCAAATCACCGGCATGATAAATCCCGTTATATTATTGAAAAGAAATTGACTCGATATAAATGCAATTGCATTAGATATGTCTTGATTTTGTTATTTTAAACGTATTTCCATGCAAAGAAGTTCAACCATGTCCATGCTTTATTCATTCATGAATTGAAAGTAAGCAATCTACATCCCGAAAATCTACCGATTTGCCGTAAAAAATTGCAGAAACTTGATATACCAAGTCGATGCACCCACCCCGTTGAATTTACCAACCAATTTCGTGAGTGCAAATATGTAAAAATCAATATTCTATAGTCATTTTGGGTGCATTTACTTTTCATGGAACAATAATAATTTCAATACCGAAAAACCATCAATTTTCCGTATAAAATCGAAAAAATCGAAATGTGTCGACTCCCTGACGTGAACATTGGATTCTACGTGTAAAATACTCACGTATCGATATGCATATCAGAAAACCAGAACCAGAAAAGAAACCATGTGTGGACACAGTTAGCAGTCCGCGGCAACATTTATTCAACAGAATAATGGTAAAAATTAGATAGGATTTTAGCCGCTTTGCCCGCCTCTCCTCGTTATTTACAAACCGTTCCTATACTCATCTCAAAATTTTTCTCAGAGCTTTGTGTTATTATCAGCTTCCATTTAAATCCCGGTTCGATGACCGAATCGGCAGCCGAAAAAGCAAGCCATTTTTGAAAGGTTCTATGAGAAATTCGTGATATTATCGGCTCTCAGGAAATCACTCCATGGCTTTAATTGGTGGTATAAATGTTTGAGTGCTTAAAATAATCGTATTCAAGAAACTAAGGCATTAACCTATGGAGTCAGTTTATTTCTAATAATATAACGGGATTTACTCCCGGTGATTTAGCTATTATAGCCCCAGAATACTTTTAAAGCGCCTTTACTTTCCAGAATCTTGACGGAATTTTTCTTTAGCTAAAACGACTTAAGAGACACCATAGTTAAAAAATATAAAGAATTTTAGATTTTGACAAAAAAAAATGTTCGTTCAGGCACACCGTGTATTGTATGGAGTACTGCTGCTATTCAAACCTTATCTTCAGGTCAAAATTCTTACAAGGAAGCCCCATGCAAGAGGCGAATTTTTTGTAATTTCTCCCAATTTTTTCTCCGTTATATAATGGGCCTGTTGCATGCAAGAGATACAGCCGTGCGAATAGACTTATGAGAGGTTAAATGACACGAAAATTACGATGGTCACATTAAAAAAGTCTGAAATACACTCCTTACTGCGCAATTTGTGTTGTTAGGAACGCGCTTTTTCAAATTTCCCGCGTCTGGGGGCAGTTTTCTAACGGAAATAATTAACGGCAACTCGCGGATATTTCCGGTCAACTAAAACTGACAACATAACCTAAAAATCGGAGTTCTTGACATCGTGAAATGAAATGTAGAAGGATTGCGTTGAATATTTAAAAGTTGATCGATTTGGTTACCGCATAAAGCGTATGTGGACCACTATAGGAGATCACGTTGGGTTTGTAAACAAACTGAAGGAAAAAATAACAACAACAACAATGACTCGGCATCTTCCGGAAATCATCGAGCCCGCCGTTTGCTCGTTTCCGGTGATTAGAAAACTGCCCCCAGACGCGGGAAAGAGCGACGCCAAGAATGGCACAATTTGGGCCAGAGGGGATTTTTCTGAAACCGGGCCCAAACGGTACCTTATGATACCCTAAAACTCTGGTAAAAATTTTAGCTTGAGTATACACACGGTTTTTGAGAAATTAGGGGGCAAAGTTGCCAAATCGCCATCATTCTGGACAGCATTTCTACAGCAAAAAGACGGGAAAAATGGACGAAAAAGTTACACCTTTGATGGGTTTCGGCTGTAAATGTTCTCTTAGGGCCCCCAAGCATTTAACTGTGTTCAATCTCAAAAATGTTGGTCGCACAGTGGTCCAAAATGGTCCAAAGTGGTCGACAAATCAGGATTCTTTGTCAAATTTTTAGAAATGGAAGTAAAATTGTCGGTCTGCTGCAGTTTTCATGGCTAACAATGTTCGTATCGGTCATCAATGCATGAAATTGCTTTCAGCTTCTCAAATTTACATCGCACAGTGGTCAAAAATGGGGGCATTAGTGGACAAATTAAGATCCTCTGTCAAACTTTTTAAAAATGAAGTGAAACTGTTGGTCCCCAGTGGAGTTTAGATCCCGGAAAAATTCATGTTTTTAATTTTTTTAATTATTACTACATGTCAGACCGTATTGTTCATAGAACTTTGTTATAGAATAGACTTTGTAGCATTATCTCAATAAAATATGCAAACTTTCAGAAATTTAAAAAAAGAAGGGAAAATGGAGAGAAAAAATTAAAAAAAAGATTTAAATAGTCGAAAAAAGTATTTAAAGAATTTTTCCGGGATCTAAACTCTACCGGGGACCAACAGTTTCACTTCATTTTTAAAAAGTTTGACAGAGGATCTTAATTTGTCCACTAATGCCCCCATTTTTGACCACTGTGCGATGTAAATTTGTAAAGCTGAACACAATTTCATGCATTGATGACCGATACGAACATTGTTAGCCATGAAAACTGCAGCAGACCGACAATTTTACTTCCATTTCTAAAAATTTGACAAAGAATCCTGATTTGTCGACGATTTCCCCCCATTTTGGACCACTGTGCGACCAACATTTTTGAGACTGAACACAGTTAAATGCTTGGGGGCCCAAAGAGAACATTTACAGCCGAAATCCATCAAAGGTGTAACTTTTTCGTCCATTTTTCCCGTCTTTTTGCTGTAGAAATGCTGTCCACAATGATGGCAATTTGGCAACTTTGCCCCCTGATTTCTCAGAAACCGTGCGTATACTCAAGCTAAAATTTTTACCAGAGTTTTAGGGTATCATAAGGTATCGTTTGGGCCCGGTTTCAGAAAAATCCCTTCTGGCCCAAATTGTGCCAAAAAACGGTCGTTTTTGGCGTCGCTCTTTGAAAAAGCGCGTTCCTAACAACGCAAATTGCGCCGTAAGGAGTGTATTTCAGACTTTTTTAATGTGACCATCGTAATTTTCGTGTCATTTAACCTCTAAAAAGTCTATTCACGCGGTTGTATCTCTTGCATGCAACAGGCCCATTGAATTGCTTGTCAAATTCTGAGGTCAATTATATTTAATTGTAATTTATACATTTCTTTTTTTCCCTTCATTTTATTTTTTGTCTGGAGAAGTTTCGTTGATTTCTTCGGATTTCGAATACTGTAACTTCTCTTCTATTCGGCCGATTTTTATGAATGAGACCTCTTTTAATTCTTCTTTTAACGGAGAGTAAGGAAAAAATTGCTAAACACACGCGAAACAATTTTTTTTGAAAGTTGGACGAATCCTAGCGTGACGGTGAAATGGTTAATCAAGCGTAAAATCAAGGGTGAGGGTCCGGGTCGGGTCGCTCGGGAGGACAAAAGACACTGCCTCGGTGTCGGACAGAGGTCCGGTGTGCGGGGAGGAGAAGGGTAAGTGGTTTTCTGTAAAAGCAAACTGATTTCTGTATGTGTTATGGTTAGCACATGGTCTAATGAGTTTTGAGGCTCATCACAGATTGCACTTACGTCTATCCTGGGTGGCCTTCCTTATCAGAGGAAAGGTACCAACTTTTGAAAAGCCTAACAGTGGTGTTAGTCGAGTCAAATAAGGGCAAAAAAAGGGTGAACCCGGAACTAATTGTATGTTTGAGTTTTTTGGGCTCATTTTATTCAGGAGATCAAGGAGAATCGAATGAACTAAAATTCGCCAAAATTCTCCCAAAATTTGACCCCAAAACCCCCCAAAAACTGAAAATTGACCTGAAAAATCCACGGATTTTTTTATAAAATGCTAATTATCTCAGAAACCGCGCATCTGAGCATGAAAAGTAACTGGACTAAAATGAAAGTGCACTAAATTTCACATTAGAAACATATATGAAAACTGCATGAAAGCCAAAACTACGCGGAGTCAGAGCTCCCCCAAAAAATTTCGCTTTTTCACCGAATTCGGCGCAAAGTGAAAATATCGCGGAAACGCGCTGTTTGTGAAGAAGCGCTTCAAATTAAAAGGAAATCGAAAAGGATGGATGTTTTGATACTTCAATTTTCATGATAAACGGCATATCTGACAAAAAAAATGTTGAAATTTTCCCCCAAAATTCATCATTTTGGAACGTCGAGACCAAGCGATACCTGAACTCGCAAAGTCATGGTGTTCTACGAGTGAGAGTCATCGTGCTAAGTGTAAAATAATTTGCTCCAATTTGAAGTTTCCAAAAATTGCACTTATTTTCTGAAAAGAAAATTTTAAATTTCAATTACAGAAGTAGCTCGGGAAGGGTAGAAGGGAAGGGGAGGTTCAGAAAGAACATGAAAGACTATCTATTTGTAGGTCACTCTGTTCGACCTCCAAAATTTTACTAGGTAGCTCAGCTTTTCTCAAAAAATACAATTTACAAAAACCATGGTAAATAGCATCAGCTGCTCGTAAATCACTCACACTACCGATGCGGCCCAAAACATTGGTGGCCCACTTATCATTCCTTTCTTGACAACAAGCTTTTATAAAAGAATCAAAACCAGACGGTGGCGTTAAAACTTGATGTGTTGACATCTGTGGGTCACCTAACTTCGCAGGTTCTCCACAGAAAAAACAATAATTTTTAAAATCAAAAGTGCACAATGACCGAGTTTTTGGTGGAGAATAATTCGCACTTTCTGCCTCTTTTAAAAGTTTTTTTTTTCCGTGCAACGTTTTTCTCATCTATAAATGTTTTTCTACACGAAAAATGAATGCGTTGACCCACATCCACGCGCACAGTGTTTATTTTCAAACGAGAACATACCTTACGGATTGTATTTCTTTTTGCGTAAGTGTCTGAGTGACGTCTTCAATCAGTTTCTTATCACAAAAAACACACGTGTCACCATAGTAATCCATTTTGGGCACAGAAATAATGGACTACTAGACAAGGTACGAATTTCAGCATTCTGATACATGTTTCTAAACCAAAATTTCACGTAAAACACGATGCACACAACGAAAATTACCGAAATCAACTCCTTCCAAAGATATTTAATGATTCTTGTGCGTGAATTGAAACCACCCGCTCATGTAGACTCAATGCTCTACGTGATTCACATCGCGCGCTATAAACGGTATCATGAACGCCTCTGCGATATAAAAATCTGGCAACCTCTATCTTGACGCTTTGGCTCAGCTATAGCAAATTACTTATAGTTTGAAAAACACATACTGGGAAAGGAACATTGCTCGATTGAGAAGATTGCTGAAACGGTTGTAGTGCGCGATTTGCCTCACGTAGAGCTTTGAGTTTCTTGTGAGCGGGCAGTTTGAATTCCTTGAAACCAATGTGAAATAAAAACGTTAATATCTTCGTTAGGAGTTGGTTTCAGTCATTTCCGTTGCGCGAATCGTGCTCTGCGTGAAATTTTGGGTAAGAAACATGTGTCAGAATCCTTTAATTCGTACCTTGTCTAATGATCTATTCGAACTGAATCATACACGATATCACAAAAAATAATGTTTCGCTTTAAAAAATCATGAAAATAAGTGCATATTGGTAACAAGAGCCAATAACAAATAACAGAAAACAGAGAAATTTAAAAAAAGGTAAACACAATAAGACGCGAGTCAGGTGTCCTCCCCAACCATGGTACACGAGGCATACCTTAAAACATGTTCGGCGTTAACATCAAATTAAATCAAAGACGATAATAACACGCGTCCGGATATTCATCAAAAGGTCCGCTAATGCACTTTTTCGGGAAAGTCGAACTTTCAGCGGTAGTACGAAATGACAATGATAACGATTGGAAGCGTACACGTGACTTTCAACCAAAACCCGGCAAATCAAGTGGACATCGCGGCATTCCTCTAGACACTGACTAAGGGTGGTTTTCTCCATATTTTCAAAAACTCAGGAATTTTCCTGTCGTAAGGCGGCTTTTCAAAAGGCATGAGAACCTCCCCAGTCAGAATTCATGCAACCACGGCCTTTGTGTCCATCGATGAGGAGACATAAAAATTTCAGCATTTTATAGTGAATTTCTCTAGAAAACACAGTAGATGCCTCTAGATTTTTTTACATGTTTGGCAACATGAGATTTGCATAAGCGTGAAAAATAAGGCATGATGCTCCAGAGGCACGTAACATCTTCTTCAATCATAAAGGGATGCGCCGTGGGGACACTCCACGCTTTAAGTAGTGTCGCTAATTATTGGCCAGCTGTTCGCCGCATCCCTTCCCCTCCCTCTCCACCCACTGGGCCTTTTACGCGACAATTGAATAACTCTGTGAAAACTGGTACTGATCAAAAGTAAACCCAATTTTCGCTCTTGGTGATTCAACTATCTCCTTCAAGTCCACAGAGCGTTTTCACGCGAAGACGATTTTAAGGGTACGCACAATGCTTTCCAAAATGATGAATTTTGGGGGAAAATTTCAACATTTTTTTTGTCAGATATGCCGTTTATCATGAAAATTGAAGTATCAAAACATCCATCCTTTTCGATTTCCTTTTAATTTGAAGCGCTTCTTCACAAACAGCGCGTTTCCGCGATATTTTCACTTTGCGCCGAATTCGGTGAAAAAGCGAAATTTTTTGGGGGAGCTCTGACTCCGCGTAGTTTTGGCTTTCATGCAGTTTACATATATGTTTCTAATGTGAAATTTAGTGCACTTTCATTTTAGTCCAGTTACTTTTCATGCTCAGATGCGCGGTTTCTGAGATAATTAGCATTTTATAAAAAAATCCGTGGATTTTTCAGGTCAATTTTTAGTTTTTGGGGGGTTTTGGGGTCAAATTTTGGGAGAATTTTGGCGAATTTTAGTTCATTCGATTCTCCTTGATCTCCTGAATAAAATGAGCCCAAAAAACTCAAACATACAATTAGTTCCGGGTTCAACCCTTATTTGACTCGACTATGTGGAGATCTGTCAAAGCAACGTTATGAACGAAACGGAGGAGTAAAATTCTCATTCCTAGAGTGCCGGCCTGGTCAGCCATCCTCGAATCAGTTCGCTTGTTTCTGCTTATATATGCATATTTTAAATCAGCGCGTCGCATTCTTAGGCTTTTTTTAAAAAAACCAAGTAACGTAGACTCTTGGTATTCACTGCACATAAACTAGGGAGCCCCAGAATGAGAAACAACTTTAAATCATAATTATTGACGGATAAATAAACTTTTTACACGCTTTGGAAAATCTCAGAAGTTCGCGGTAGTCACTTTTCGGTAAGGAACTAAGGGACTCGGTTATTGTATCGAGTGGGGGGTCGAAACGATCGCAAAGGCGGTATACTACGTATACGCGCCAAAAAAAAAAAAAAAAAAAAAATAGTCCAAAAATTCTTTTTGTGGAACGAGATCAATGTGTCGGTGGTCATACGGCAAACGACCTTGCGAAGTCATTTACCTTGAGGTTAATGACCTTTGCGATGAACTGGACGGAGCGTATAGGTTAAAGAGTCAAAGGGAGACTCGGTTTTATGTGACTGTGCAAAGTCGAAGTTTCATCCGCGATCGGTTAATGGGCCAGAGAGTGATGGTTTTGAAGCAACGTGCATATTTTTGGAGACTTAAACGCAGAGTAAGAAAAGTAGATAAACGCACAAAATCAGTAAATTCGTTTCAGCCATCGAGAAGATAGATGGAATGCGCACGAGCCCCTTGTCAAATCCTCCGTTTGCTGCAGTATATAGTTTCAATGGATACCACTATACCAACATTGAAGAGCGCGTTTCACATAATCGAAAAAATGAAGGCGCTCGGAGTCCCGTGCCGTCTAGTTTAATGTGACTCATCTCATACCTAGTACAGGTGCAGGCCCTTTAAGTATGCGAGGGTTGCCTGGGCACAAAATCGAGGAACATGAATGTTTCTGTCGCCGCACACACTAAAACGAATCGTTCATTTAAGAACGTTCCTAGATTTTGATAGTTTAAAAGTGGTATGGTAGATAGGGATAAGGGTGCTTGTAACTGTTGAATAAATTAATAGTAATAGGTGCTTGTTGTTTAGATGAAAAAAGTGCGTAATTCATTGGTACAAAATGACTTTATTTATAATTTGAATTAAGGAGAAGAGGTAGAGCAAAAATAACTTAATATTATGTCTAATTGATGTAATGGTAACTCTTGAAAACTTCCTAATGCTTAAGTTTCGGTCGATTCTGAATTTGCACTGGAGTGAAAATCGTCGAGATCATTATAAATCAAACGAGACAATTTAAATAAAAATATCATACATTAATCTAATAATTACCTAAGTCAAACATTAAAAGATTTACATTTTAACTTCAACTCACTACACTCGCTTATTTGACAGAACATTGTGTTCCTTTCGTAGTAAATCTTCAAACAAACGGACGAATTTCTGCCAAACAGAATTAGAGGCATAGGTGGGAAATAAGAGGTGTGCTCGTTAGTTGAGGACCGTAAGGATGAATGTGAATTATAAAACTCCAGTGACGTCAACGGCAAAGAAGCCGTCTCCGTTGTCGCTCTTGCTCGGCTTCAACTCATGAGCCCTGTCCACAATGTTCTTTTACCATTTCCATGGCTCATGAATGCCACATTCAGTTGGCACTTAGTTCCGTTTGACAGAATGTAAAATCTCGCTTTTCCATTTCACCGAAGAGAATCACGTCCACTATAACATTGTTTCTTATGCAGCTCTCTATAGCACGCCCCATCTTTTCCCCTCGTCAGTAGTTCCGTTTGACCAGGGGCGGATCCAGCAATTTGGCAACACAGGATTACCTCCATTCAAACCCATGTTAAATAATCGATTCTTCTCGGAACACCTGGCCCCTTCACGAATCGATACATTTCCATACATTTAAATGGAGAAAAAACAATGTTGCCAATTTGCTGGATCCGCCAATGCGTTTGGCAGAAATACGTCCAAATGTAATATGGTGGCGTTGGGTGCATAATCCTCAACTACTGTGATGATTTTCAATTGCAATCCACTTGTTCAATTCAAGGGAATGAGTATGTGTTTCTCCTCATTTTCGGTCGGTGCGGATTATATATTTCAAAACTCTCAAAATCTGTGCTTCCAATGCCACATATCCCTTTCTGCATTAGGAAGTGGCCCTGCGGAAAATCAAAGATAAGAGTCATCATTATGGAAAGAGTCATAAATCTTCTTTGTTAAATCATTGAAAGAGTAAATGCGAGACATCATGGAGATTGAATTTGTTGCCAATGGAAACTGAACTGGTAGCTTGCTTATCGATGACACCTATATTGATGGCTTAATGGATTGTATCCGATACATCATCAGCAGGTAAAGTTGTATCGATATCGATTGGTTCAACATGTATACATAGCCTTAAAAGTCAATTGACCAATTTGAAGAGCGGGTTTTCGTGATGGATTTTTAATTCTCATGTTTACAATATGGCAATGAAAAGTGAAATTATTGGGAATTTTCTCATTCCCAGCTTTCCGAACTTAGATCCTAAAATGATAATATGTAATGATATGATATGATGATATGAATGGTATGTAATGATATGTTTGAGGTAATTGCTTTGAAGCAAACGATACATCGAACCACTATCGAATACGATCTAAGTCAAAAAATGTGTATCTCCGTTCCTGCACTATTTCAAATCTACACTCATTTTTTATTCTTTTAGAATTACCTCATATATGGTATGCTAAGTATGGTACCTACATATGTACGTATATGCGAGAAAAAACAATAGAAAATGGCCCGAACTGTACGTAGCAAGGTGGAGGTCCTCAATATTTCGCGGAGAAAACAAAGCTAAGGACTTCTAAAACAATTTCAATTAGAGTCAAAACACGTTTTTTCTCTAATGAGTACCAGTACAAGACTGAGGGGGGAGGGGAGGGAGTGTACAATTGAGTGTATTGTAACATTCCAAAGCAAGTTGCCTGAGCTAAAAACTCCTCCCCCACCCTCAATTGTGTACTGGTACTCATTAGAGCAAAAAATTTTTTTTTACTTTAATTGAAAATTTTTTGGAACTTCTTGGCTTTGTTTCCCCGCGAAATGATATGGACCCAGCACCATTTCTCTACCCTGTTACATATATATTTGTGAATATGTATGTGTACATGTAGGGTTCAGACGCAAAATTCGGTGAAAAGCTTAAAATATCTATTTTATGAATAAATATTGCATACCTGTAAGCCCCAACTGCTAGGTGCACTGTCCCGGAGGATCCACGCGTCTGAAATTAAAATGTAAATGTAAATTTTCAATTGAATTCGGTTTATTTTTCTTTCCATATTATTAGTAAATATGTGTAAAGAGATTTTTCCGAGGTCATCGATTGCCAGTTAGTTACTTTTGTCGTAATTAAAGAACCTCATTTGAATGAAATAAAAACTCTTTCAATAAATAAAAAAAAAATCGCTGGTTAAGAAAACATTCGTTAAACCAAAAATAAGATTTTTCACATATAAAACGATTTTTATCCATATTTCCTCAGTGTGAATAATAAACCTTGCACGCGAAACAACCACGGTGAATAATTCATTGGTACCAACAAACGAATCATCAAGTTGAACGCTTACAAACGTCCAACGAGTTCCTCACACAGTAGACTGATTCAGTGAATAGGTCACTCGATATAATATCGAAATCTTGGTTCACACCAAAACAAACTGACATAACATCATGTACGAATTTTTCATGATTTAATTGTGATAATTTATTAAAAATTAGTCATTTACAGGCTCTAAATCAATTAAAGACTCATTAAACAGGAGAACTTTCGATGGTAAGAAACACTTGGACGCATTTTACCACCATGGCACAAAGGGCGCGAATCAGAAACAATGTTTCTTGTTTGTTGACATTTGAATCAAGGGTTCGATATTATATCGACTGACGTTGCCACTAAATCAGTTTATTTGCAGGGAGGAAATGAAGACTGACATACCTTTGTAGTGCCCAACAATAACAACGCCGTGATTTGCGTCTCCTGGCCCATCGGGACAATTGTCTGATTCAAATACTCCTGAAACGTAGAACTGAAACAAAAAACAAGCAGTTTTACGAGCAAATATATGTGTCAATACGGATAAAAAATCGGAATGTTCGCATTTTCTCCAAATATTCAAAAATATTCTCATCCTCGCGTATCCGATTCGGAAAATCCATAATTGCATATAACTATGGTAATGCCATTCGACTGGAAGTTGGGTTTGCGAACCGAATGGTCGGGATGATAAAGAGCATCATGTCCACCATGAATATGTGTCAATACAGCGAAAAGATTGGCATTTTCTCCAAGTGCTTAAAAATATTGTCTTCCTCGTGTACCCGATTAGGAAAATCCATGATTGCATACATACAACTATGGCAATGCTATACACATAAATCTCATATACATATAGACTGGATAAATAATAATACGATTAATTTTCCGACAGCAAAAGACACCGAATTCCAAAAGTGAACCGAACGTTCGGTTACTCGAACTGAAAGTTAGGTTTGACGAACCGAACAGTTGGGATGATATAGAACACCATGTTCTCCTTAAATTGTTGGATATGCAATTTTACCCTCTTGAAAGTCGAAATAGTCGTATCACGCGTTTTGCCCCATCCAACTTTTCTACTCTCGCGTCAAAGTCTCCAAGTCAGCCGAGAAGAGATTCTCCTTCATTTCGTGGCGGCGCAATTTTACCTACTTAGAGGTCGAAAGAGTTGTATCACGCGTTTCGCCACATCCAATTTTTCTACTCCCGCGTTAAAGTCTCCAAGTCAGCAGGAAAGAGATTTTCCCTCATTTCGTGGATATGCAACGTGACCTATTTTGAAGTCGAAATAGTTATATCACGGATGTCGCCCCATCTGACTTTTCTATTCTGTATAATGTATATATTTGTATTTTATAATTTTGGGAAAATTGAGATAAATCAAGATAAGCAACACTGACAATGCCAAGTGAAGAAGACGCCTAGGAAAGGGGGATAAGGGGCTTTACAAGGAACAAGGGTGCTCCAACTTCCTGAGGACCTGTGGGAGAACAAGGCACTATGGCGGTTAAAGTGGCTCTTATGTATGTATGTAACAATGCACTAGTTTTTCGTTACACTTTGTATAATTTAGATTATGCTAAGAAATGTTTATCCTCCCAAAGCCCTTCAGGGAGTTGGCAAATCCTCATTTCTTCTAAATCACCCTGTCGCCACCCTTTCACTGGGCGTCCCCTTCGTCTCCTCACGGGAGGAACCCAATCAAGCAACTTCTTTGGCAGCCTTTCGTCCGTCATCCTTTTGACATGACCATACCAGACAAGCTGTCTGGTCATGACGTCGAATATGATGTCATTCTCGACTCCCATGATCTGACGCACTCTTTCATTGCGGACCCGATCTCTCCTAGAAATTCCTGTAGACCTTCTCCAGAAATCCATCTCCGTTGCTCTTCGCATCCCCTGTGTCCGTCCCTTTAGCTGCCAAACTTCATATCCACATCCCAAATAAGACAGAAATATTTAGCCAATATTTAAACAATATTGTTTTGATATTTATGCAAACATTGGGCCAATATTGGTTAAAAATTGAGCCAATGTTAAAAGTGTACACCATATTTCCTTTTGGCATAAGACTGTGCCAATACTTTAAAATACTGTGAAATACTGTGTCAATACTGTGAAAATATTTTTATAATATTTTGGGTAAACGTATTATTTTTAAAAATACTAAATAAAGATTCTTTAGATATTTTTTAAAAAAATAATTTTGATTAAAATATTATCAAAATATTGTCAGTATTGAGTAAATATTGCGACGATACTGACAATATTTGCTCAATATTGTAAAAATATTATGTCTTATCTGGGATGTAAGAATACTTTTGACTACAACTAGACTGACTAGATTTTTTTATTCAATAAAAATATTTCTTACTTGAAGCTCCGCCTTGGCGTGCACGTCAGTTGGGAGTGGACTGAATCGTAAATGTTCCTCCAGTTTACGTGGATCCGCCCGGATGAAGTCAGCAATCTTTGCGTAAGGATTTACGGCTACGTGGGTTTTACAATTACCGGTCATCGCTGTGTATGGGTATGCTATGGCGGTTGGTAACCCATATTTCTTGATATATTCCATGGAATTGGCAATCGTCCCACCCTCGCAGCCCCAGCTTCCAGTATCGCAGTCGATCAAGGCTACCAGAAAGTTTCAAACTTGCATGAATGAAGATCGACTTTTCTCTGGAAAAGCTGAATTTTTAGGGAAAATTCCGATTTTTCCTGGGAAAATCAAGCTGATTGTGAGCCCGGAAAATTTCAGTCATCTTCGGAACCAACGCTGAAATTCTACGCGGAATTGATATAGTGCATGCAAATTTACCCGTGTTGACCAAGGGGCTAATCATTGAAATTGATAGGACAAAGCGATATACAAAGAAGACGCAGGGCGTATGGAGCCATCCATTAAGTAGAAATGGGTGGTCTACGGGCTGATTATTGAAATTGATAGGCAACGCCGTAGACAAAGAGGACAAAAAAGATTTGGAGGGATCCTACTGGTGGAAGCGGGTGGTTGCAATGAACAAAGGAGGTAGGGAATAGACCAACTAACGGCGATCCACGAGGGGACCTATAGTTAATCCAGCATTTTCTCCCTTGTTAGTCTACCTATAAGAACCACCCATTTCAACGATAAGGATCGCTCCATGTGCCCTATGTCTTCTTTGTCCATAGCTTTGTCTATCAATTTCAATAATCAGCCACTTGGTCAACACGGGTAAATTTGCATGGGCTATACTAATTCCGCGTAGAATTTCAGCGTTGGTTCCGAAAATGACTGAAAGATTTCTGGCTCACAATCAGCTCGATTTTCCCAGGAACAATCGGAATTTTCCCTGAAAATTCAGCTTTACCAAAGAAAAGTTAATTTTCCGGGAAATTCGTGCACGGTGTAGAAAAACTAAGGTCAATTTCGGACGAAGAAGCCAAAATTACAATGGATGTAAAATAGTGCGCGCCTATTTCTCCGGACATGCGCTGTTTTCCGCCCATTCAAGACCATGTAAAGCTTATCCGATTGTTCTGCGTCGGAAAGCAGGGGAAAATTTTTTTTTCAGGTAACAAGTGAACTAATTTTCACTTAATTTTTGCCGCTGAAGTCGAAAATGACATTGGTTTTCTTCCATCGTGCTCGAGTTTTCCGGAAAATTGACTTTTCTCTGAAACTCGATTTTTAGGGAAATTTCCGATTTCTACGGGGAAAACCGAGCTGATCCAGCGAAATGGAATCAGTTTTGATAATCGGAATTGGAAATCGTTTTGGAATCAGCGCTAAATATCTACCTAAATTCTGTTGACACATTTTAGGCAAATCTAAAACAAAAAACTGTAGACCAGTGTTATTGGATAGGGTCAGATGCACCAATCATTTTTGATAATCTTTTGAGCTCATAGACCAGCAAAAATTCATAAAATCTGATAAATGCCAAGTTATTCCGTGGAATATCAACGGAGATATCGGCCTTTGAGGAACACGATGTATGACGTCATCCACCACGATTATGTATACCACGATTTCTTCCACCTTGAATTCATGAACCTTTGATACACTCATTTAGTTGCTGGTTACTCACCATGAAATTAACAGTACGTGAGTTTTTTCTGAACACAGCCGCAATTATATGTATTATTGTACTTCCTTATTGCAAAATGTATAGTCTAAATGTTGTATCTCAATCATGCTAGAATTGTAGTTCCTTATCGCAAAATGCAGTCCAAGTGTTGTATCTAAAACGAGCTAGAAAAAGTAGTCCAGTTTGCATTTAAGAATATTGAAAGATGCTAAATTGGGTTGTGTGAACTCACTTTGTTTGGAGAGCAGGGTGATCTTGCCTTCTGCCCTAGCCAACACGATCTCAACAGCACCGACTGGTGCAAAAGAATAACAAGCAGCGCATGCTCTACCAAACTGGGTCTGCAAGCAGAATTTAAAAAAGAAACAAACAAAAAAGTCCAAGCACTATTTAGCAGAAAACCCAGATTATTCTTGAAAAAGCGCTTGAATACGTGGGTTGCAAATAATTTGGTTCGGGGTGGCCTCGTGCCGGTTCCCATGCACATTCATTCACTTGTATAATATAAATGAAGCACAGCCTCCAAAATATTTAAGCCCAATTTTTTCAGATTTTTAGACCATGTCCGAACAAGCAATGGTTCACAAAACTTTCAGCTGAGCATCGTTTCTCGCCCCTTTTCTGTACGCAGACGGATAGGCGCAAAGTCCGCCGAAATCAATGGGTGTCGTCATGCAATGGAGCCCTGGTAAAAATTGGCGATAGGAGCAGCGTTTCAAAATAACATAGGAGTTCTTATAGCCGACTGAAGAGGGCGATAGAAAATCATATAGCTGGCTGTAGAAAGTGGAAAAAATCATACTTCCGGGCTACACGAAGCGATAAAAAATTATATAGCCGGGCTATAGTTCCTATCGCCGGGCTTTACACTTTATCGCCTGGCTGTTGCTTTTTCGCCATCGGCTATAAAAGGCTATAAGAAATTGTGTAGAATTCTTGTGCTTTGTAAATCCTTAAGTTTGTACGGAATCACCTTAATATTTACAAAACGCACATTATATTTTCCTTTACTACATATTTTTCTTCATCAATTAAAATGAGAATAATCCATACAGAGTGTGCAAACATTTCAAAGTCATGAGTTGAAAAACGCTGACTCCGTGAGATTAAATATTAGAGCTGAACACAAAGCGGAGCGGCGGCGCACTGGCGCCTACAAACCTAACAGGGATACTTCACGCATTGCGCAATGCGTGGAGTATCCCTGTTAGGTTTGTAGGCGCCAATGCGCGTTTCGCGCTGGCTGCCCACCTGCCGCACCGCAGCGTGCCACGGCGCTTGAAGCAACTATTTCACGCCAGAGGTATTGCACAGTATCATACAAAATTGAAAGCGCTCCAACATCTTAGGAATGGCAGGCATCCTTCAAAAGTACAGAGCTTTCCTCGCAAATTAAATCAAGATACTGCGGCCCAAAAAGAGAGCGTTAGTCCAAAAACTCACTAAGTCCTAGCATCCGTAATCAGTAAGGTTTAGCATACACTTTATCGCCAGACTGTTGCTTAGTCGCCATCTGCAATAAAAGGCTATAAGAAATTGTGTTGCCGGCTATAGAAGCTATTGAAAATCTTACAGCCGGCTGTAGGTCTATGGTATTTTGGAACACAGATTCTACTGCCAATTTTTACCAGAGAGCTCTTGCAAATGTGTCAGGGATTTGCAATTTACGCACTTGATAGTCCGGGAGCACATGTTCATTTTTGGGGTCCCGTGGGACCGTTAATGATACAA